TGGCCCCTTTTCCATGAATAGCCTAGGTCGCAAAGCTAGGTGCCCTTTTGGCCCCTTGTTTGGGGGAGGGGTTCCCCTACGAAAATCGACTACGGAACAAAAATCGGGTGCCCTTATTCGAACCTCTCTGGAGGACTTAGAAGCCATCTCCGCTCGTTCTGGACTAACATGGGGCACTCCTCAAAAAATATTGAAGCTTTTTCCCCAGAAGAATTCACTCCGAAAATTGTTTGGTGTGCGGCGAGCACTGGGCCCCTGGCCGCTGGATATAGTTCTAATTGTACTATCGGGCCCGTTGGGGTGCTGTGTGGTTGGGGTCTTCGCAGGAGGTTGCGACCCGTGTCCTCTGATTGAACTTCAACATGGTCCCTCTCAACTTACTTCTTCAGTACAGGCTTTGACCTTTCAACTGATGTTGAAAGATGAACCATGCAAGGACTCCAAGACCAAGTTGTGCACGGGATCGAAGACCAACCCAGTCACAAAAAGCGTTGCTTGCTGGCAGCTTCAGTTGAATCCCACCACGCGTCAGGCGTCGCGTTCCGAATAATTTAACTAAAGGAGCCAGTTGTTCCTTCATCCGAGTCGTTGGGCTGGCAGCCAAGGAGAGTCCAAGTGAGACGGTAGTTGAAGAGTGGGGAACAGTCCGAATCTCCCTGACTTGAGTCACTTTCCGGTGGCGACCATTTTGGACAAAAAAACACTCGCGCGGACGTGTTTGCCCCGTTGCCCAGTGGTGCCCGTGTTTCCTGTTTTGTTTGGGAAGGGTTCCCTTTAAAACCAACCAACCAACAAGAATCCGATGCCCTTTCCTCCTGGCAATCCACTGGGCATCTGAGCTTGGGATCTCAAGTCGTTCCCTAGGTCCCCCCAGTGGTGCCATCTGTTACCATCTTTTACCCCTTTTTTGGGGGAGGGTTCCACAGAAAAAAAGTCGGGTACCCGTATTCTAACCTCTCTGGAGGACTTAGATTCCATGTGGGCGCCGGACACCTGATGTCGGGATGAGCTGGCGCTCTCAGGTCTCCCACCCAGGGCGGGGAGGGCCAGTCGGCAGAGGACCCGGTCGCCTTCGTCCACTCTCAGCGAGCTGAGTCACTTTTGGCCAGGAAAGCCTTTTTGCTAAGTTGAACCCAAGTTGAACCGGAAACAAAAAAAACAGGGGGGTCGTTTTGCTACCCTTTGTGAGAAAATTGCCGACCCCCTCAAAAAGGAATCCTTCACTACGAGGGGGTCGATCAATTGTCCACAGAATAGGTGGCAAAAAGACACCCCTGCTTTTGGCGTGGAAAGCAACCGCAGGAAAACCTATGGTGTCCCTGTTAGGGAATTGTTAGGTTCATTCCCGAAACCCTTGGTTCATTCCCCTATTGGTTCCCAGCCATCTGGTTTCACTTAGCGTTTTAGATCTTGTTTGGCTGGTTCAGTCGTTGGGTGGCCGAATTTGACCCACTAAAAGTTATTCACTTTTAGCGGGGGATCTGAGGGCAGCCTCAGTGTTGGCGTGGAAAGCAAGCCCAGGAAAATCGTAAAAAGGTGGCTGTTTGTGTTTGTGTGTGTGTGTGAGACCGAGCATTTGTGAGGCCAATGCCCATAGGACTCAGGTTTCTACCAACGGCATTTGGTGGGTGGGCGCTAATGACTAGCCCTACACCTGTTTGGCTGGCATAGCTCAGCCCCGACTTGCATAGAGCCGGAGATTGGTAGCATCAGAATTCTACTTTGGTTCGTCTCAAGATGAGACGAAAGGAGAGGGACTCTAAACGAACACCTGGAGTTCTGCCGAATGAGAACTCCCAGACGGGCAAGTTAGACATTTGATGTGACCATGGCAAGGATTTGAGGATATCTTTCTTCAACCACTAGTGAAGCCACTAGTGGCGTTTCCGGGCACGTGTTTCACCCGTGAGTCACAAGAAGGAAGTGGGTCGTGAGTTATCTTAGATAGTGTTCCCTATATTATGGGTATGTCTCTTTTAGGGGACCCCCCAAAATCGTGGTTGTTCTTCTGGTGTCTTTTCAAAGCCAACCAAGCAAAGGTACCCTCAAAAGAATGACACACTCACATTTTCTCCCTTCTGCCATTTCAACCATCATCTGGGACATCTTGACTGCTACTGGGTTGGATCTTTAGACTTTAACTTTTGGGGAAGTCAAGGGAGTTTTCCACTAAACCCCCAAAAAAGTTAAACTTTTTGCGGAGGGGTCAACAGCAACCAAGACATTGAGATAAGCTTTCTGCAGGGCGATGTCTCGTTTTTGGCAGGAGATGTCACAGAAGCACGCGGAGATTGCTGCTCTGGAGCAGGCCAGCTCATCCGTGAGAATAGGAAAGGAACCCTTTTGTTAGAATCCATTTAATGGGTGACCCAACAAGTGTGTGGCGTTGTTTTGATAGTCATGTTTTCACTGGCGTCCATGTCCAAATTGGTGCAGTATGAGCTTTTGCAAGTGCTCGTTGTTTGTCTGGTTGGAGTGTTAAAGGCAAGCCAACAGCAAACTGATTTGCCTTTTTTGCCCACATGTGTGTTTGTAAGCATAATTCAACATCCAAGCGAATGGCCCCCCCCCAATCCCAAAAGGGGCTTTTTGCGACTACTGAGGCCTATGCAGGTTCCAGTTGGGGTCGTTTCTTTGGGGGGGGGGGGGGGCAACCATGGGACACCGGGGCCGACTGCTTCGGGTCTTGCCCTAACGTGGCGCTTTGCGCCCCTCAGCCCCTGGCTCCGATTTGCCTGGCAAAGCCTCGACAAATCGGGTGCGCCACTAGGTCACTAGGTCTCCCAGCAACTGGTGCCGTGTCTTTTTTTTGGGGGGGGGTCCAACCTACTAAACTAGACTAGAGAAAAAATTGGGTACCAACTGATTCTAACCTCTCAAATCTGGAGGACCTAGCTTAAAGGACCACCAGTTGGATGGTGTAGGGGTTAATAATCATGTCTCATTCACCAACTTGTAGATGAATCTCCTCCATGTGAATTTACAGACGGAGTCAAAACGAAAATGAACACCTCCTTGAGTTCCCCCTATTTAAAGCCGGAAAGTGGGGGGCTTGGGCGGGCAGAGGTTGTCTAGGTCCTCCAGTGGAGTGGTCAGAAGAAGGTGTAGTCGATTTTAGTGGGGGAACCCTCCCCCAAAAAATGGGTAAAAGGGCACTACTGGGGGACCTAGTTGTGGCGGGCGTTTGGGGCTCCTTGATCTGAAACATCCCATCTTTAAGTAGATGAATCTCCTCTGCGCGCGCCAAAAAAGAACCCTCTGCCAAGTCCAAACTCCCCCCACTTTCCGACTCCTCGCTTAATCTCCTCCCCTGGGTGCGCCACATCTGCCAAGTCCAACCCCCCCACTTCCCGACTCCTCGCTTCGAGTGCCAAGAGGCCCTGCAAGAGATGCAGAAGAGCTTCGCGGAGCGCCTCGCGGAGGAGAAGAAGGCCTTCGCCGCGCGCTTTCGGCGGCTCGGCGTTTGTCGGCGTTTGTCGGCGTGTCGGCGTTTGTCGGCTCGGAGCGGCCGTTTTTTGCCGCGGTGGGGGGGGGGGGGTTGTGAACCCCGTTTCTGGGGTCTCCTTCAAAATATGTCGCAATATATATATATATATATATATGTATGTATATGTACAGGCATACGTTAGAGTAAGAATAAATGCGAAGATCTGAACATTATTTGTTCCCCTTTGGGCCAGGGTTAAAGCTGGCTTTTAACCCCCATTGTTTGAACAACATCCTTTTGGTTTCCCTGGAGCAAGGGGCTGATTGCCTTGAATAAGCAAGTGCCCCTTCTCACCAACTCTTTTGGGGGGAGGGTTCCCCTACTAAAATAAACTACAGAAAAAATAGAGTACCAACTTATTCTAACCTCTCTACTGGAGGACCTAGTTGTTTTCCCAAAGGAAACCGAGAGCCGGAGCCTAGGATTTTTCAAGTGTCTGAGTTGCGACCTCGGCGAGCCGAATCCCCGAATCCCAGCCCGAGTCGAATCTGCTCGAAGCCAGGCCCATACCAAGAAGGAGAAGACCTCGGATATCAAGCTGCCCCACATCGCCAACCTCAACGAGGATGGGCTTTCCCTGGCTGAAAGGGTGACCAGATGGGTCGCCAGTTGCGATCGCTTTTTTCCATCCACTTTACCCCAAAAACCAGCACCAGTGACTGAAACAAAACAACAGCAACTTGGCTATCCAGGCAGATGGGTGTGCCTTCTTCGGGCAAGCCCCGCTTTTGGTTGGTGACTAAAGTTGAAACCAACAGGGAAGACCAGCCGTTTCTGAGGTCCGGTTTTTTCCTTTTTTCGGCACGCCCAAAAAATCGCCGCTTAAAGGACCTTTTGGACGCAAACCTGGGTAGTTCATCAGAAGGTGATCGGCCTTTTGTCTGCCAGCGGAGCAGATACCCAAAAAGCCCAGAGGCCAGTTTAGTACATCTAGGTCCCCCAGTAGTGCCCTTTTACCCCTTTTTGCGGGGGTCCCCTACTAGAATAGACTACAGAAAAAAGTCGGGTACCAACTTATTCTAACTTCTCTACTCGACGACCCCCTGGTATTGGATCCAAATGCCCCCAAAGCCCCCTAACTAAGGCTTTCTTTTTGGGAAGCCAGGAGGGGGGGGGATGCCTGTGACAGATGCCAACTATCCCGTGCTCAGATTGCGGGTCGGTGGGTTGCGAACCACAAAACCTATCATCCAAAAAAGACGTGGCTCCTCTTGCTTTCCACTCAGTTGCCCAAAGCGCATCGACCTTATGAGCTTTTGTTTTCCTTTTGGTCCATATTTTTTGTCGAAGTCGCAAAGGGTTAGCATGTTAGTTCCGGCTCCCTTGGGCAACTGAGACCAGGGTCACCAGGTCACTAACTGGGTACAGGTCCCAGGAAGCCACAACAAAACTTCGACTCTGATAGCACAACCCCTGAGAGACGGCCCGTGTGTTTGTTTTTTCTCCAGTTTCGAAAGAAGAAGGAACTATGCTCGATCCCTGCAATTGGCTGGTTTCCCTTAGTTTCACCGTTTTCCTTCAACGCAACCCCGAAAAAGAGGTACCATCATAGCATCAACAACAGACCTGGTCAGACTCGTTTGCATGTCGGTATTCCATGATTGGATCCACATCCGCAAAGCCCTCAAGCGAGTTTCTGTTGGCACTATCGTGAATGGACGAAATCCATTTCGTACCACTTTGAAACCATGGGAAGCCATAGTTGATTGATATTTGCGGGGGGATCATCAGAAACCAGGGTTTCTTGGGTGACGCGAAATGGATTGGATTTCGCAACCATCCACAGTATGTTTGTTCCATGCAGGACCTCCTCTTGACGGCCAAGCTGAAGTTCGCCTTCAAGGCATGGCGAGTCCACAACAGAACCCTTCGGCAGCACAAAGAGAACAAAGATACGCCATGGATGTAGGTCCTTTTACTTGGGGATCCACACATCTTATTGGCAGTTTGGGCGTGTCTTTTTTTGGGGAACCCCCCACCAAAAAAAGTGGTTTTCCTTGCGGTGTCCCTTTCACACCACCAACAAGATCCAAAAAGGGGGGTACCACCACAAAAACGAATTTCCCCCCCCCCCCGCCCCGAAAAAATGGAGGTACTCTTAAATAGCCCTCGCACACACAAACACACACACACACACAGACCCGTCTAGCAGGAAGGTTCGTTTTTTTGTTTTTCAAGGCTGAGAGTATTTAACCTGCCGGGGCAAGCAAGGAAGATCCTATGTGTAGTGAATGCTATTCCTTAGAAAAGGAAGCATCGTGATGTTGCACCCATCTCTTAATGAGACGAAGCAGCAAATCCACGCAACGCAAAGGGCCTTTGCCCACCTCCCGGGGATTCCGTTCGATTCCGATTGGATGATGTGTTCCTAGGGCCCCCAGGATCGTGCCCTTGCTCACCAACTTTTTTGGGGGAGGGTTCCCCTACTAAAATAGAGTACAGACAATAACTCGGGTACCCTTTTTGAAACCTCTCTACTGGAGGACCTAGGCACGGACCAGGACACGCCTCACACAGCCAAGAGGTTGACTTCGGATTGATACGCAAGGACCATACTACTCACCCAAGCTCTCTCTTAAAGCAAACGAGCCCTGAATTCGCGTGAGCTCGTACGGTTCTTTGGATTGATGCTGCCCCAAGACTCCAACAAGACATACGCACAGGGCAACAGCGGAAACGAAAAAGCAGCGGGCAGACAACTCCACATCCGTTCACCAGGGCCCTTTGTGTACAATTCCCGTGGTTCCCTTGCGTAAGTTCGAACATCATCTGGCAGGGATGCGGGATCAGGAGGATTTCCTCATAAAGCAGGGTTTTGTTTTAAATAAGCATAGAACTGAACAAAACCACAAACCAACACCTCCCAGTTCCCACATCTTTGCTACCTCCTCACCTCACTAGCGTCCCTTGATGTCCGACCTCAGCAGGGTTTGGGCTTCAACTCCAATCACTGGACTTAGAAAATGGGGGGGGTGTTCAGGGGATCGTGCTACTTTTTCCGAGCCACGGGAATTGTCCAATTGAATTCATGGCGAATCAACCTCTGTTGGTGGGTAGACAGAGAGGGGCCTCTCCATTTTCCACAACGCGCGAGGATTCCAGGAGACGTATCAAGTTGTTGCCCTCTCAATTTGGGCGTGTCTCGTTTGGTTAGAAAGGGCCACCTAAAAGGACCGCCGAAGCACATTTTGGGGTTCAAGAGACATACCCGGGCATAGGTCTCCTTTTTAGGCTAGTGTGCTCAAAAATAGAGGGCCCTGGTTCAGGTTGGTTTTATTGCCTGTACCGCAATCTATTTTTCCAAAAGGACACCAATGCACTCGCGTGTACGTTTCACAAGCCAACCCCTGAAAGCGACCAAGAACAGAACCGCGCGCGCCAGGAAGGCCTTACTCGAATCGGCAGAGGAAGTCAAGAGGACGGAGACCCCAACGCGCCCAGCTCTCGGCTCTCGGCTGATCGGCCGATCGGCGGCTCGATCCGTGTGACGGAAGGGGAGAGAGTTGCCTTGAAAGGCATGGCGTTGGAGGATGATGTTCAGAGTTAGTAGGTTTCCAGGCCAAGTGATTTCGATATTGAGATCATGGCAGAAAATTGGAGTTCTTTTGTAATTGTCAGTTTTACATGGAGGCACATGTTGCGGCTGACTCGTGAATATTGGGGTGATTTCGCAAGTTGAATGTGTGGTGAATGGTGTGCAGGCCGCTTGTGACAGCCTCCCGTCGCACGCCGGCAGTTGGATTTGTGCACTTGTTTCCACGGGGATAGATATTAATTATTGCTGACCTGGAGTGACTTCACTGTTGTTGGATCATGTTTTAAGATAGTTCGGTTTGTTGGTTCTGTTCATTTTTGTGGACTGCAAACAACAGATGAAGGAGTTTTTTGTAGTTGTAAGCCCATACCGTACCATGAGGTTCCTGGGACCCGGGGAAGGATTCGACTGTCAGGCCTGAAGTGGCCCTGCAAGTGCCTGGCATTCATCAGGCGGGGGCGGCGGGGTCGGCCCGGCTAGGGGGCAGGCGTTCCCCAGTAGTGCCCATCTCTCCCCTTTTTTGGTTGGGAGGGTTCCCCTACTAAAGTAGACTACAGACAAAAGGATGCCCTTATTTTATGGCCTCCGGCCTGGTTCCCCCGACCCGATAGGGCTCAGAGTCGGTCTTGGCCTGACAGTGTGTGCGTCACTTTACCTGATAGCCATTTTTCCAGGCCATTGCGCCACCAGCCCGTGGATATAATCTTATAATAGTTTTTTGCACATTGCAGCGACGACAGCTTTTTGCACATTGCAGCAACGCCAATAGAACAAGGACCATGCAAAGATCTTGCCACCAAGCCGAACGTTCTAAGTCATACTTCCAGATGTCGCTTGACGATGTTGTCTTGAAAGGTGAAGAGTCTTCCGACCTGGGCCCCGCACCCGCCCGCAAACGGGCCCGGGTCGCGCTTGTGACATGGAGCTGTCCTACCACCTTTCCGGCGACTTTTGAAGAACGTCAAAAGCGCGGGCTACTACTTCCATCAGATTTGACCCGCGCCGAGTTTGGAGAAGCCATTTTGGCTGCGCTAAAAGGTTCCAACCAGATTGGCAGCTTAAAGTATCTCATAGTTGTGCGGGAATATCATCGCAGATATTTACCTGAAGGAGGATGCGCGCAGCACTTTCACGCCATTTTGGCGATGAAAGAACCAACGTTTCGTGCACAAGTCTAGTAACTTCCTGGCACGGCGCTCCATTAAAGCTTGGTTCAGCTTCAATCTGCCACTTGGCGGCGGCGTTTAGGTTCGAAGCCCGTTTTTCCTGTGGTTTTTGCTTTGGTTTTCAAGCAGTGGCAGGAATGGCCTGGCTGCATACTGCCGCTATTTGTTTGTCGCGGGGAAGAAGCTTCCTGGAGACATTGATGCCTCTCCATGGCTGTATTCCCCGGATGTCTTATCGTGGGAGAAAATTGAGTCGATTATGGCCAATATGCCGATGGATCAACAAGTCTAAAACAAATTGGTTGAAAGGCGCCAGCCTAAGCGCAAAACTATGACCTTCCGGGAGCTGAGTGACATTGTAATTGAGAAGGACGTTCAAACAACAAAGGATTTGTGGGCAGAAGCCACAAAGAGGAAAGTGAGCGGAGACGACACCCTTTGGAACAAGTGTGGAGATGACAGGCACCTTTCCCAGACACTCAAGAAGATCTTGAACCGTTGGTACGGAGATCCATCCTCAACCTTGCGATCAACCACGCCGTACACTTTGGATATGTTCTATGTGGCTAAGGAAGCGCAGCTCTGGCTCGATGGCGCCTATAAGCATCGCACCTTGATCTTATCTGGGCCTGGCGGCATCGGCAAAACTTCTTTGGCAACTTGCTTACCACTTGCCGTATGCAAGCGTTTTCATTTCATTACAAGGCTTGACGCATTGCGAAGCATGGATATTGGCAAAAACGCCGGGCTTCTTTGGGACGAGGCAAATATGAGAAACTTGGACGTAGATCAGATGAAGGCGGTAATGGATCTGGAGCATACGAGAACTATTCATTGCCGGAACACGGATGGTTGTTTGCCGAAGAATTGCGCGCAAATATTTAGCTGTAACCATAGTCGTTTGCACATGTTTGGTAATATCCGAGCTGAACACACGGAAGCTATTGATCGACGGCATCTCTGGACGCAGCTCGCTGGAGATACTCGTAAGGCTCGATGGGGGCATGGTGAATCATAACGTGTGGCCGGCCTTTCAATGGAGGATATTTTGTTTACACATATGCTACGATTGGTTTTACAAGTTTTCCTTAGCTCCATTGAAAGGCCGTTTGCGCGTTATGATTCACCATTGTATGGTGAACTAACGAGACATGCCATTGCAGGTCATGATGGTTTGACCCATGCCGCCAGAAAAGGGTTCATAATCCTTACTCTTTTGGTTTGTTGACACTTTCCCACAAGGTCTTTGAGCTGACTGACGCTCGGCTTGGTCATGGTGGGCCTTTCGCAGAAGCTGAACTTGATGAAGGAGATGTGTTTAGACATGGCGGCGGCTTGACTTAAGCGCAGAGCGAACTTCTCACACAGATCCAGCAGCTTGCTTTCGCACCAGCAGTTTGCTGCAGCAGTCTTGCCTGCATGTATGTCTGTTGTCGGTACGGTTTGGATGAGACTGAGGATGCCAAAAGAATCCCGAATCCGTAGTTTGTCCATGCAGCTTGTTTGGAGTGTTGGCTTCGACTTGTGCTGAAATGGCTGTGTTTTTCCTGTGCGGGGTCTGTAACATGTAACAGAGTTGCGACGGACATACGTTGCAGATCTCGTTGCAGACCTTTGTGACAAGACTGGCTGGCTCGTTACACACCCCTCGTCACACGTTACACACCTCAGATGAACAAACTGCTTGTCGAGTTGCACGCCCCTAATGCATGCGCAGACCCTCAGTGATGGGTGCCTGTAGAGTGGACTTTGCAGAGCATGCTTTTGCTACAGAGAGCTTGCCTTCAGATGAAAAGTTGGAACAGGGGCCGCAACACTTCCTTATACGCCTTGGTGCACAGCCATTAATTACACCTCGCTACAGACATTTGCCGCTGAATAGCTGCAATCAAGTTGGAGCTGACATCCGTTACATACCTCTACAGACCCAACCCCCAGCGACCGCCCTTTGCCGCCGCTTGGCTTGCGTTGGAAAGTTACAATCAAGCTGAGTTGTAGAGGCGCGCTTCGCGTACTGCGCTTTGCTTTGCCTCGTTACAGACCACGTCACGTAGCCATTCAGCCCGGGCCAGCGACCCCCTTTTGCCATCGCGTGGCTTTGTGTTGGCAGTTGAAGAACTTCAAGCTGGAGCTGCGGACGCATGCTTTGCGTGCTGCGCTTGTGCTTCTGCTCTTGTTGTTCTTGGCTACATTGTTCGACTGATACGGATATTTGTCAAGAAATGTTTTCCCCTTACAGACCTGTGTAACAAGGACCTCCGCTACAGACCTCCGTCACAAGATTCGTGGCGCTTCCATAAAAAACCATAGCCAAACGCAGCGCTTCCCCTTTGGATTGTGTAGGCGTCGGCCGGAGTCTGGGGGCTTTGGTTCACGGGCACAGAAAGGTTTTTGCGCCCTGTTCCTACGTTTTTTGGAGATAGGGGTTGGCCCACAATGAGATTGTTTTTTAGCTTGCCAACACGCAAGGAGTTGAGTAGAATTCGGCGCCAAGGGTTTCCGATGTAACTGGGTTGTTGCTTTTGCTTTACGTCAGCGCGGGGGAGAAGCGGGCCCAACATTAAACCTATAGAAACACATCAACAAAAGCAACACAGAACCAAAAGCATGGTCCATTCTGGACCAGGCATGGGGTCGGCGGATTCTCTTTTGCCGGGGCCAGCAAGAGCTGCCAAGGCTACCTGTTCGAAAGGGAACGCGCGATGACTGGGGTGTACAGAGAAATCTATACACACAGACGCACATACATCATACAATACTCACATGTCTGGGCCCCCCAAGCACCAGGGTAGTCCAAGGTTTTCAGTTGCGTCGAGTTTCTCGTTCTCTATCAGTGTCGCTTACAGCTTTCCCGCGCCCAGTGTCACGGAGCACGTTGCCAAAGTCAGGCCTCGCGGCCAGCCAGTTGTGTCTTTCAACTTAATGAACTCCAAACTCACACTTGCAATCTACAAGATAATTAAAAACCATTCCTATTACATCCGCGAGGCTCGGTCAAAAAAGCCACACACACACACACACGCATGCCTATTCATATGTAGATATATATATATATTGCAACACCTGAAAGCGTACAACCTTGGAACTTAAACCAACTTGACATGTCTGAAGTTGCTTGAAACCTCTCAAAAAGGCAAACGTGTCTTGAAAAATAAGACTGTCTTAGCAAACACGTTCCACTTACTTACAATATCTTAACCTGGGCACTTCCTTGGCCAGAGTGAATTGCGCGGCGAACACGTGAGGTCCCATGAAACATTAGACATGTCGTTGCATAAGCCTGTGAGCTTGCTAGACCCGCAAGCTTCTAGCAACGCAAGCAACACCATCTTCCAGGCTGTAGCGCCACAAAACACTCCATTGGCTCAAGGCCTGATCGCTACTAAAATAGACTACAGAAAAAATTGGGTACCCTTATTCTAACCTCTCCACCAGGGGTCCTAGCCTGGGACCCCGGGTTTCACCCCGAGGCCTCCCGTGGAATTCGCCCAAACGGCGTGTTCCTCGCTCCACGCATCGTCCGCCGCCGAGCGCCGCGCGCGAGCCGCGAGGAGCACGCCACGGTGGAGAACTCCAACGGAGCGGTGAAGCTTAAGGCCATGGACCCTGAGGCCGTGGAAAGGGAATGGCGAGACAAAACACACGGCGGTTTTTTGGGACGAAGACGGGGAAGACGAAAATGCCTTTGGGTGGTAGGCGGAAAAAACGGGGGCCAAAGCGAAAGATCAACTCGCTGGACTTGAAGTTTTTTGGGAAGACCACTTAAGTGGGAATCTGCGAGTTTCTTGTTTTTGGCCCATGCACTTGGGAGGCGAGAAGCCAAAATGGCATTTCTGTTTCGCTGCCTTCTGTGCGCAGTCCTCGAAGGGAAGGTTGCAACATACACCCGGGGTGATCGACCGATTCTTAGAAGCCGGAGGCCCGGATTTCCACGAGTTTCCGCTTCCGCGGGTTTGAAAGGGAAACCAAAAGGAAGCCAACCATCTTGGTGGGCCTCTTGTGAGAAGCACATTCATATGTTTTAGTCTTTGGTGGGGCAATATTGAACAGAAAAAAACGAGGGTTTGTGGCTTCCCCTCCTGGTCTTGCCGGAGAAGGGCTCGTGACAGGCAAGCAGTCCGTCTTGAAGGGTGCCGCGTTGCAGGTGGAAGCTCATTCGCCTTGGTCGATCCACATTGATCGGCTGGGTTTTTTCCTTCACGCAGCGCCAAAGCTCCATTTGTCATTCGTCCAAAAGGTGATCGCATGAATCTGAAAGTTGATGACAAGTTCTATGAATCCGTCAGCTTAGTAAAAACCAGCTCGGGCCATCATAACCTTCATAGCAACTTAAGTCGAAGTTCACGCAAGTGTCTAGTCAAAACAGAGTTTGCATCGGCATCGCTGTTTTTTGTTTTTCTCACCGGAAAAGCAACTCCACTTTCTCACGCACCACCACTTGATGGAGGGCGATGGTGCCAAACGGCAGCTTCGGCTGTCCCCTGGTCCAAGGGGTGAGCATTGCTCGGTCACTCTGATGTTTTCCATGAAGAATGGTTACTCGAAACAAGCACCCCCCGACATCACCGAAACTTGGCCCCAGTTTTGGCATGTTGGCGACCAGAGGCAGCATCCACGACCTTTGTGAACGGCACTGCTCTACAAGCGGGCAATGCAGGCCGGGGGTACCCCAAGTGCCCCTTTCAGCCGGATCGGGTGCTATGACACGAGAGGCCAGATGCCAGCAGCAAGGCACACCACTTGCAAGAAGGCTGAAGGAACCCCTTTGCAGCTTAAAGGGAAACCAACGGGAAGACCGTTGCCGCTGCAACAGGTTTGTGTTGGTGGAAATGTCATATCGTGGTTTGCAATTCCTGGAACGAACTGCAAGGAATAGCCCGATATTGGAATGGTGCATGTGCGTTCAAAAGCTGCTCTTGCTGAGCATCATGACATATTTCAGCCAGTCAACTCAGTTGCTTGTAGTGTGCCAGGAACACCACAGTTATTGATGCTGTCCGGCAGCTTTTTTCCAGAAAACGGATTGGATGAGTTGCTTTGGATTCCCCCATGTTGTTTGTCCGGTTGACCTTTAGTACTCTTTTGCTACTCTACAGGGGTGGATCCACAACAACCCAGAACGTGTCCTAGATTTGTTTGTGGGTGATACTTTCCGAGAGAAGTTGTTTGTAGGGCTCAAGATGGGCCAACCAACAGGAAGCGGACAGGGGATATGTTGAAGACAAAAGGTTTGTATCTTGTCAACAGGCTTTCAGAATGCTGATTCAACTGGAAGTTGCTCATTCGATGGAAGGCAAGTTAGACTGCCGTTCAAGTGCTCAGTTGTTAACTGGCACTCCATTCTCCTTGTTGCCCATCGGTCTCTTACCAACTGTCATGTTCATTATCATGATTACCTGTAGTGTTCTGTTTGCTTATATTATTCAACAAAACACATATCGCGTAGGCATCTTTATTATGGCAAAGCTAGGCAAAAGTCTGAGGTCATCAATTCATGTCGTGTTTCTGTGAGTTATCAAGGTCAGAAGCTAAAAGGGGTCCTCCAACATGCGAAGACCATAGGGTGTGATTTGGGTGTTTGTGTTTGTCCGTGTCTGTCTGGCTGTGTGTGTGTGTGTGTTGTTTTGGAGGGAACCATTTTCAGCTTGATGTAAACTCACTCCATGGTTTCCTGAGTTGGACTTTTTTGGCCAATCCACTCAGGAAGTGAGCAAAGGGAAGCAGAAAGCACCCCGTTGCCATTTTGGGGGGTCCTGCTATATCGACACATCCAGGGTTCCACTTTTTGACTACCCCCAGGGTAGCAGGGTAGACGCAGAAACCCAGTGGTTCAGTAACCCTCAAAAGACAAGGAAGTGATTCCTGGGTTTTCCCGTCTACTTTGGGGAAGTCAAAAAGTGGAACGACACATGGGTGTGGGTCAAAAAACGGTACCCCGCAATTTCCGAGCCCGGTAAATGGAGCCAATGACTAAAACCTGCGGTCCCCTGGTGGTTCAATTTTGACCCATACCTACATGGCTATGAATTTTAATGGGGAACCTCCTGAAAAGTGGTTGGTGGACGTAAATCCCCACCAAAATGATGTCCACCAAAGGATTCCTAATTAAATTTATCACCCATCAACCAAGCTGCGGACTCTCTACCTGCCGAGTTACCCTCTCGCACGGAGACCGCCTGGCCTTTGGGCAGCCGCTTTCTTGGCCAAGCGAGACGTCGAGACCCGATCAGGTTTTGTGAGGGGGACCCTTTCTAGGTCACCCAGTAGTGCCCTTTTGCCAACTTTTGGTTGGGAGGGTTCCCCTACTAAAATAGACTACAGAAAAAGGGCTACCCTTATTCTAACCTCTCTACTGGAGGACCTGGCTTTCATCTCAAGCCCTTTAAAATGATATTCCTGGGTGAATTATAACGACCCCGCACGACCGAATTCACCCCAAATTGTGGTTTTGTGTGGGGAATGGCCCTCCACCCACCTTATTTCAGGCTGCCGAAAAGAATTCACCCAGGTATTCCCTTTCTGGTTTCCCTTTAAAACCACAAAAAGGAAGGCTGAGAAAGGACACCAACAATGTTTTGGGGTGGGGCTTCAACACCACCTCTTTGGAGCACAGGTGAGTTTCCCTGAATTCCGGGTGATGTGTGGGGAAATGTTTGGTTGTAAGCCGGTCCAACTCCAAACCAGTTTTCTTGGCGTATGGATCCAAGCAAACTGGTTGGGTCAGGCCCCCAGTGGCTGGAGGGACGCCGGCTGGGGTTGGTTGGTTGGCTGGTTGGCTGGTTGGTTGCTTGTTTAGTGCCTTGGGAACCTGTTAAGGACAAACTCCTGGAAATCATGCGGGGCTTGCGCATGTGGAAGGGGCGTCGCATGTGGAAGGGGCGTTGGAATCATGGCACTCGTGACTCCTGACCTTGCTGTTTCTATGCGAAGAGCACAAGAAAACCACCGCAGAAGGCTCCATTGTGCGAGTGGACCGATGGACCTTCAAAACTTTGGGATTTCCAGCTTTCATCTGCTCGATACCCAGGTTTGAAAAGATCAAGGGTTCATGTGCAAGACCCAGGGCGTTGGCTTTTTTCCTGTCCACTCCGTGCTCGGCCGAGATGCATCTTCGTGTTTGTGGAGCCTTTAAAGGCTGCCTGCCAGCGGGGCTGGGGAGGCGTTGGGCAAAGGAAAATCCATGTCAGTTTGTATCTTTGAGAGTATAATTTGGACCCATATTAATCAACCCCAGGGGGCATGGGGGCCCCTCCAAAAGTGACTATCAGGGACACCCCGTATTAATAACCCGGGGTTGATGTTCAACATTAGGCACGTTCTGTTGGTAGGAAACCAAAACGAAGCCAACATAAGCCAACCATTGTCGGTCCAAATCCTATGAGACAAAGCCACCTGGCTCAGCACTCTCAGTTGCGGATGAGCGGGGGTCCGGCCATGTGGTATCATGGTATCATGGTAGAATAGCATCACGGCAATCGTGAAATTCTACCATACATACATACATACATACATACATACATACATACATACATACATACATACATACATACATACATACATACATACATACATACATACATACATACATACATACATACATATAGACTATGTATATATGCATATTGATATAGGCACCATGTGTATACTATATATATATATGTATATATATATATATATCATAATGCACATGTCCTGGAAAAAGGGCTCTTGAGGAGACCTGGGAGCAGTTTGTCGCGAGTCAACTCTGGCTTGAAGCCTGTTGAAGTTGAATGGTGGGATGGCGCAGTGTTTCGGTCTCACACCCAGTGGTTGGATTGTGCAGGAACCTCTAGCGAGCCATTTGCCCAAAGCCCGGATAGATGAAGGTTAATTAGGAAGGGAGAGTCCAAACCGTAAATGGGTGCAGCCGCTTTTTTGTTGAAGCAAATAAAGCGAATGTTTGGGTGCACCATGTTAATGCCGATCGGTTTTGATTATGACTCTAGTCAAGTTCCATCAGAAGTTGGCCTTCCGAGTTGCCTGGTGATATCTCTAGGAGTCTAGTTGGGAGCCCTGCCAAGATGGTGATGGACAAGGGGATCCAGCTTCATCGACACTTGGAAATGTGCGATTCCGGGTTGACCATGATTTTGTATTTTGTGTGTTTGGGATATGGCTCTGTTGCTTTGCAGGTTCCCATAGCCTTGTGGGGTTGCTTTCAGGGAAACCGAGGGGCAATCCACGCGTTTTAAAGAGAAACCACAGGAACGGAGAGGAAAACTCATTCAAGGCAAATGGAACCCTCCCCCTTCACATTTGGTGGAAAACCAAGGCGGAAGCATGCGAGACCACTCCTTTGGTGGGGAAACCAAAGGACAACCAAAATGGAAAACAATTCTAGGTACCCTCCAATCAACATGGAGAACCTGACGTTTCGGGGTGCTTTGACCGCTTTCCCTTTTAAAGCGGCCTTTTGTCTCGACCGTCCGCTTCCAATTGTCCTTTGGTTTCCCATGGGTTGGTCTCTCATGGTTCTCCCTTGCTTTTCCACCAACTGTGGGTCAAGTTTCCGGCTATAAAAACGGGTGGGAGGGCGAAGCGGATGTGGTTTCCGCCCAGGGCAAGGTGGCCGAGCTGATCAACTCGGGGCAAGTGACCTATGCGGCTGCCCGCAAGGAGCCTCGAAGCGCGCCCAAGGAAACCGAACCGAGCAACCGAGGGCCATGGTAGGCTCACTTGAAGCGAATCGACCGGATCTGACCCTTGGGTTTTCGCATTTTGGCCCATTTTTAGTAAAGGTCCCAAAAGGTGATCACCTTTTATTTCCAGGTCTTTTTTGGGCAAGTGGGTAGGTGGTCATAGTAAGGCCTATGTAATTTTGTTTTAATAGCCAATAGAACCAAAAGTCAATGGGTTTTCTGGGCGCGTTGAGAAAATAAGAGCCAAAGGTCCTTTGCTTGGGGGGGAACAAACAAAAAACAAGAGGTCATACCAGCCACGTTTCCAGAGGTCGATTTCCCATTCCTTTCAGATATGCGCGTTTTCTCTGGGTGTCCGGAGGTTTGCTAGAAAGAAGGATCCCTGGAAAGAATGGGAAAGGCACCCCTAGACCTTTTATTGATTTGCCAACACAAACACGCAGAAAAATGTGATTTGAGCGACCAAAACAAAGTGGGGATGGTTTAACCAAGCCTTTTGGACCAAACAAAAATCCTTGCCTGACCTTTAACCAAGCAGAGTTCCGTACGCATCCAATTTTGAACAACACCAAGCCTTGCCAAAGAAAACCTGACTTCCATGGTATTTTGCAGGGGGAATATGATGTTTACCAACGCCGGTCGGATTTTTGAACATCGAAACGGAATCGGACGCGAGTCTGTCAATCCATGGGCATTTCGTCCACCTGGGGGGTGTTTCTGAAGATTAGGGACCCCATCCCGGCTGTTGCCCTTCCTCTGAACACTGCACCTGTGAAAGGGTACCTGGAAGAAAAGTTCCCTGCTGGAGAGACCCCCTGTGAATTTGCTATGTTCGTGGGAGGGAGGGAGGGAGGGAGGGAGGGAGGGAGGGAGGGAGGGAGGGAGGGGGGGGAGGGAGGGAGGGAGGGAGGGAGGGAGGGAGGGAGGGAGGGAGGGAGGGAGGGAGGGAGGGAGGGAGGGAGGGAGGGAGGGAGCGGGGGAGCGAGAGAGTATGTTTCCGTTTGGCTTCCCCTCAGACCCTATCCAAAAAACTGACTCGGCAGACTCGCCTGTGAGGAGCTGCAGCATGGGGAGGTGCCGGGGCCCACGGAGGAGGAGCTCAAGGCGCGAGGGTGGGGCGGGATGGGAGGGGGACCCGGAAAAACCCGGGGGAAGGGTTTCTTCGCCGTTGTTTTTTTAGGTTGTGCCTTTGGGCTGTTTGGTTCTGGTCGTTTTTAGGAGACGGCTGCAGAACTGAAACTTGTTTGCTCCCATACCAACCGAAATGGATTTCACCCATGAAAAAAAACGAGTTGTGGGGTTCCATGGTTGGGTACCGATCCTTCACCTAGGTCCCCCAGCTAGGTGCCCTTTTGCCGTTTCTTTTTTCGGCTCGGAGGGTTGCAGCCTACTAAAATAGACTCACTCACTCAAGTTCGCACTGGGCCTCAGTGGGCGCAGCTGATTTATTGGTGCACGTGTCTGCAGAAAAAGTTGGTATCCTTATTCTAACTTCTCAAATCTGGAGGACCTTAGGTTAGACATTCAAGTTGAGTACTTGAGGGAGTTCCCAAGGCTCTTTCATCGGGCTGGAAAGGCAGTTAACAAAGTTCATTTGGACTACTTTGGGCTGAAAACAAGTCCAATGCTCAGGACATGCTCTTTCTGATCAATGCCCATTTTCATTTTCCCAGGTGAGCCACTTGCTCAAACCCCGGGTAGACGAAGGTTGGGGATAATCCCCTTGCCATGAATGGGAGCGGATATCCGCCTTGATAATTATTGAAGCATGGTTCTGGGTACAATAGACCATTTTGTTTTTTCCATGTGCTTGAGAATATGTTGTATTTTCCCTTGTTGGTTCTAAAGCGACCCTATCACTACTGGACATATTGTCTCATTTTATCCAGGGGGCGAAAACGCAAATGGAAGTTCGTACCGATCGATTCTGACTCGGGTTTTGCTAGGGGTACCTTCCCCATTCTTTCCGTGCTGGTTTTCAGGAAGCCATCAACATCCCAGGAAAACCACTGGTTTTTGGAAACAGAACGATGGTTGAAAGAATGGCTGGGTCCCAGTAGTCCCCTTTTACCCTTTTTTGAGAAAGGGTTCTCCTACTAAAAATCACTACAGAAAAAAGTTGGTACCCTTATTCTAACCTCTCTACTGGAGGACCTAGATGGGGAATCAACGTCTACCTAGAGTCTCCATGACCCTTAACAAAATGGGTCCATGACCCCTTTTGATTTTGGGTAATGACCCCATTTTCTAAGGGTCGGAAGAAGACTCCAGGTAGAGCCTTTCTCTTGCGCCATGCCAGGCCAGCAAGGAGAGGGCCGAGGAGCTGGAGCGCAAGGCCAGCGCAACCTGGATATGGGTTGAAATGAAGCGCCAGGAGAGGCGCCGCAGGCAGAAAATCGTGGGCCTTGCCATTTGGGTGCGGCTCAAAATTAAAGAGCTAGGGTTACGCCAAATTTGCCAAAAAGGCTGCCATTTTGTTTTGGGTCTCAATTTTGGAGCCACAACCATTTACCGGGGCAACCCATTTTGGGAGTTCCGTATTTTTGACCCACACCTGGCTGAAAATGGGGGGGGGGGGGGGGCAAACGCCGGTGTTGGGCGGTTTCCTTTTGGTTCCCCTTTTCAATTGGGTCCCAAAGCTAGTGAACTTGCAAGAAGACATGGAATCGGTGGCCGTATTTTCAGGGACACCCCGGATTCATTTCTTAGTGTCTCGTTGGAGGGGGCGTGGGTGGGTTGGGGTGGCGGGTTACACCAGAGAAAACAAATTGAGGTAAGGGCGATGGCGCCGGTTCGCAACGTGAACCGCATCCGCGCAGTACCAATGTGACTCTCACGGGGCATGGGAAGGTTCAGGCTCGCTCTTGATGCAGGAGCTTTGGGGTGGATAGCGGTGGGCCCAGGGCGAAGTCTGGAGATGGTTTGGTTCATACAGGGAACTGGGCAACCCTCCAAAATGGGTGGTTTCCCTCAAGCGTGTCCCCTTCAACCCCCCCCCCCCCAAGAAAAAGGGTGAACGCAAAGAGCGGACCATGCGCAACACGGGAATCATTGACGCGTTAGTTGCGCGTGCATCAGAATGAACCTTGACTTGCTTGGTTTGAGACGTGCCTGGGGCCACGAGAGTCACCAACTCTCCATTGCCAGATGTGAACTGCCTTGTAACGGTTTTGTCCGGGAGGTGTTCATGTCCAGGGCTAAAAAGGGGTACTGCTATAGAACCAAGGCTTTCACAAGTCTGTGGAAGCACGGTGGGGGATTTGAAACCCTTTTGGATGTCATTCAAGCTATCCAACAACTTGCTGGTTCTCAGCAGGGAATGAGACACGGAATGAAAGCTATAAACCGTCCCACCTATTGTTTCCCTTATTCGGGAATCCCCAAACGGTTCATGCCCAACACCTAGACTCGGAAGGTCATTCCCTACCTATCGTACCTGCAAATAAAAATGAGTTGCAATGGATCCTTTGGACACTTTCATTTACGTTTCAGGAAATATGTTCTCTACTCCCTGTTTCTAAGGGAATATAAATCATACTATTACTATTGGATTTGTGTTTGAAGGGAATCGTCTCCATCACCACTGGGTGTAAAGGGAATATCTCCCTCGGTTTTAATCACTACTGGATCAGTGTTTGAAAGGAATCTTTTTCATCACCACTGGTGTTAAAGGGAATATATGGGTATGGGTCAAAATGAAACCACCAGGGGACCGCAGGTTTTGTTGGTTCCATTTACCAGGGCAACCCATTTTGGGGTTACCCTATTTTTAACCACCACAGCCATATCACCAAGTCAAGTCTGGGGTAGACTTAGCATACATTTTACATTTCACCAGTGACTCAAAGGGAGGCAAACAATAGAATATACATTCTATAACTGGGCCTAAGTCTAATCATGAAGCGAGTCGATGTTTCTTGGCCTTGGCCTTGTCAGGCGCGGGAGGCTGAGGACGCCAAGGAGAAGGCGAAGGCTTGGCTTACCCTGTGAGAGGAGTCTACCTTTAAAGACAGGGGTCCGTATATTTCCCTTTTTGGTGGTTTTAAACATCGCCTTTCTGGCCATGAAAGGTGAGCTTCCTTGGTGGGGGTGATGGAAATATAGGGAGCCCTGAAAGATGTGTTTGTGTGTGTGTGTGTGTGTCCGTAAGTATTTGAATTTGTACGTTTGTGTATTTGCGTGTTTCTGTTTGTATTTTTGCATGTTTGCGTATGTCTATGATTGTGTGCTTGTGTTTGTCTGTCTGTTTGTCTGTTTGTTTGATTGTTTGTTGGTTTGTGTGTGTGTGTGTCTGTGTCGCTTTGTTTGTGTGTTTGTGTTGTGGCTGTGTCTGTCTGTCTGTCTTTCTGTCTGTCTGTCTGTCTGTCTGTCTGCCTGCTTGCTTGCTTGCTTGCTTGCTTGCTTGCTTGCTTGCTTGCTTGCTTGCTTGCTCGTTTGTGAGTTAGTTAGTTAGTTAGTTAGTTAGTTAGTTAGTTTGCTTGTGTTTTTGTTTTTGTTTGTTTGGTTGTTTGTTGGTTTGTTTGTTTGTTTGTTTGTTGTTTGTTTGTTTGTTTGTTTGTTTGTTTGTTTGTTTGTGTGTTTGTGTTTTTGTGTGTTTGTGTGTTTGTTTGATTGTTTGTTTGTTTGTTTGTGTCTGTTTGTTTGTGTTTGTTTGTCTGTTTGGTTGGTTGGTTGGCTGGCTGGCTGGCTGGCTGGCTAGCTGGCTGGTTGGTTGGTTGGTTGATTGTGTGTGTGTGTTTTAATGTCACCCTTCAAGTTGTTTTAGCTGGGTTTGCGGAGAAGCCAGACGCAACACCGAAATCCTTTGTTGCGTCTATTTGACACACTCACATCCGCGTTTTATTGTGTTGTTTTTTCTAAGGAAGGGCTGGTCCTTTTCTTCAATTCCGTTTTTGAGGTTGCCGACACCACTAAAACATGGGATCGACAAAAGAAGTGGTTGCAACTATTTGCATACGTTCCGGGACGCTGGTTAGTTTCACCCAGGACGCACCAATGGTGGTTACTAGTTTTCAGGCACATCAGACGGTCGCAACTGAATCAAACTACTGTGCTGCCGCTTGGATGTTTACTAGGTGTTGAGAAAGCCTTCAAACAGCGAGGACAACGCCAGAAGTAGCAACTTTTAAACATACATACATAAGTCATTCGAGCTGTTGGATACTGGCATTCAAAGGCAAGGCTCTCTGATTTCTAGGGTTACTGTGTTTGTGCTGGGGGAGCATGAAACCCTGTACCTTGGTTGCGACCATTGCGGGAGAAAGTTTCTGGGGAATCCTGGGGAAGGTGTGCCTTTGGTGTCCCCTTTTTCAACCTTTCCTTGGCGGCACCACATATTAGACCAAGCCAGACTGAGCGACTTCCAATGAAGGAGGACTCCTGAAAGATTGGTCATGGTTTCCAGGTGGTCCCAGCTAGGTGCCCTTTGGAGGAGGGTTCCCCTACTAAAATAGACTACAGAAAAAAAGGTACCCTGATTCCAACCTCTCGACTGGAGGACCTGGGTTTGAAACTGAGAGACGTTAGACCCGCAAGGATTTCCGTTCAGAACCATTGGATCAGCCGTTCTCAACACGGGTGACAGACAGGCCGCAGTTCCCCAGTTGGTCGCCTTTGTACCTTGGGAGTTCCCATTCTTTGCACATCCGTTGTCCTTGAAATATGTACTGTGGATGGTTGAAAAAAAGACATCCGCTTCTTGCACCCTTCAGAAACCCTGGCTTATGATTCCCTTACCCAACGCAAATTCCAAGAAAAAGGTTTCAACCATGGAAACTCCAAGCGATGCTCACGGATTTGGTCCATCCACAGTAGGGAGATGGTTTGCCTTTTCCACCGTGGGAGAAATCAGCAGCTTTTCTGGTAGTATAGAAACCCTTTCAAGGGAGGCTCTTCATTTGGGTGTGGGTCAAATTTAAGCCACCAGGCCGCAGATCTTGGTCCTTGGCTCCCTTTACCAGGGTGCTATTTGGGGTAGCCATTTTTGACCCACGGCCACTTCAGAGGAAAACATAATCCCTGGGACGAACCCCTCTTGCAGGATCTTCTTGGGCTGGGCCGAAAGCTTGGCCGACACCAATTCGTCGGTTTCGGCCTCAGGCGGAAGCGGAGGCGCTGATGAGGCAGAGGGAGAACGAGCCAAGGGCTAAGATTGGCTTCGCCAGGGTACAGGTCGCCAAGAACAAAACATGGGTCTGTCTTCTTTTTTTTTTGGGGGGGGAGGGGGACGGCCCCCCCCTTTTTTTTTTGGGGGGGGGGGGGCGTCCCCCTTTTTTGTTGGCGTGTTTTTTGTTTGGGGCGGGGACACCTTTTTTGTTGTTTTTTGCGTTGGTGTTGAAGGGAAAGCCACAAGGGCAGCAACCATGTTGGGGGTCTCCAAAAAAGACACACTGGTGCTGTGGCATGATGTGGCAACGCGCGCATGCATGCAACTGCAGTACGTTTGTATATACTCCCTTGCTTTGCCTACGCATCAATTGTTGGCGCAAGTTTGAGTGAGTTTCCAATTTGGTGCTGTATGACTTGAGGGGGAATATGAACCATTGTATAGTGACATTCTGAAACTTCACTGGTACCCCATGATTGTGCTGGACTTTCTCGAGCTTGTAAGCGGTAGGTCAAAGGGAGCCAGTCAGTGTCCATGATGCCACCAACGTGGCAGGATTCGCCCAACATTGGCTGTGCCTGCTGTAGATGTTGCTCTCATATTCCATAGCATGCCCTCAGCCTCAGCGTTTTCGACCCTTGAAACCCCTCCCAAATCCCAATGGGGCTTCCTATGTTGAGCCAGTTGCGTTGCCTGTTTGCCCACCGAAAACTCCGTTCGGAAACGATTACCTCCAGCAAAGGCAAGTTTACAGTGAGCTACCTTACTGACTTCTTGTTGGGAAGACCATGTTACTGGCAACCAAAAAGCTTGACTCTTCATTGCCATCCACTATCGGAAGGGAGTTTGGGGGGGTGTTTCTTAAAGGTTGGAAAAGGGAGTTGCCCGGAATGCGGGAAAGCCCGCTGGTGGCAACCGGCGTAGCCGCCACCGGACAATTCAATCGACCGAGGTTCAAAGAACAAATGGAGCTGAAGCAGAAGCAGTGGGAGCAGGCATTCAAGCCGACATGAGAAGCCGCGAGTCCCACGTTGATGTCCCTCGACTCAAACTCAGAGATTTCCCCCCAAAGGGAAATCAACTCACTGAATTTTAATAGTTGGCCTTGGGATCGCAACTCGGGGAACGGTGTTGAAGGGAGAGAAGGATCTCCCGCTGCGATGTTTTTGCCCATTGCCTCAAACCCCAGAAGACTGATCCTTGGATGCTCTGAAAGCAAAGCCGGAGATTTGTCTTGTCCCAGCCATCCGGTTCCTCAGGTTTCTAGGTGGTTTGGGTTGAGTGATAGCGTCCACTAAACGACTAAAAGTTCTTCATCAGGGGATTGAAGGGGGAGACGTTCGTTTTCCTGTCCAACCAGAGGCCCCTTTGTGCCTTGGCTGCGTCTCAGAAAGTCCCTACAGTTCAACAGGGAGGGCTTATGCAATAGGCTGGGTTTGCTGGTTTGAAGTCCCATGAACCTGGAAGTCATGTGCATGGAAGTCCCCTGAATATGAAGAGAGCGACATGGCCACTTGCCACTCCTTCCACACCTTCCAAGACGCTTGGCCGCCCCAAAGAGCGTGTGGTTGAAACTCAGAACCCTGGACCCTGGCGGTCCATTTGCTTCGGGTTGAGTCGGAGGAATCCAAGGCTTGGGTTCCAAGACGGAGAGTCTAACAAACACAATTCTGGTGCTCCCCCTGCCCCCCTGCCTGCGTGTGTCGTTTTTGGGGGACCCTTTTTTGGTTGGCGATGCAAGGGGAAACCAAAAGGAACATTATTTCAGGGGGTCCAAAAAAAGAGACACCCGCTCAACGAAACCCCCGGAGTACTTCCATCCCTCCCCACCCCACTTCCAACCCCCCCCCCCCCACCGCCCTCCCCTGCCCCCACTTCCACCCCTCCCCCGGACCTCCCCCCCTGCCCCCTAGACCTCCCCCTGTCCCTAGAGGACCGAACGTGGAACCTTTTTCTTGGAACCGCATTTTCTGTTTTTGGGTTTTGCCAGGGCGTCTTGGAATGACCGGTGACTGCAAATAGCCCCCCCCCGCCCCGCGCGACACGAGAATCCGCCAGGAGATCGCGCAGCAAAAGGCGGCGGAGGCCAGTGAGCAGGCGGCAGCCGCGGAGCAGGCGGGTCCGTCGTATAGCTGTGGGATCCCATTTTGGGGTAGCTGCACCACCCATTTTAGAACGTATTTTAGTGGGGATTGGGCCCTGGGATGATCACTGGAGGTATCTTCCGTTGGCTTGATTTCTTCGAGTTGCTTCCATCTGTTTTTTGATAAAAGAACGATGGCTGACAAGAACGGACAAGGAAGCAACCCCTTCTATCGGTGTGCTGTGGCTATATGGCCATGGGTCAAAACCAATGGGGGTCCCATTTTGGTTTTAACCCATGGGCATATGTTTTGTGGTTTTCCCCTCATACAAGCGAATCTTCTTTTTCCAGAGGACTTCAGCAAATGGAAGAGAAAACTGGCTGTGTCTCTTTTCTTCTCACTTGCTGAGTTCAGTTTCGGACTGTAGTCACTTTTCAGGTTTGAACCTTTTTGGGGTGAGCAAACAGTTTGGGAGCTGAGCAATTTATTTAGGAACCCAGCCATTTGGTTCCTTAGTCTTTTGGGTGCTTCTCAGTTGCCCAAAGCCGACCTTCTAACCCTTGAGTTTTCCGATTTTCATCCATTTTTAGTCATGGCAATCCCAAAAACGGCGATCGCCTTTTATTTGATCCATTTTTAGTCTTGGCCCCCCAAAAGGCGAAGCTGTTATTTCCGGGTCCTTTGGGCAACTCGTCGGCGTTTCGTTGGTCGGTCGAATGTGGTCGACCTGTTTTTTCGTTTCGCCGATCGCTACAGCCGAACCTTCGGGGCCTTGGTTCGACCACCCAAAACGGCCACCCAAAACGGGTATGCTCGGGGGAAGAAAAAAAAACGCGATCCCAGATGATGTCCCTGAAGTCCTTGTGGAATCAAGGGTTTGACATGGTTGTTGTCTTGGCTGCTCAAGAAAATGGGGACCTGAAACGAGGTGTGTCAAGATTAGGGTGTCTTTTGTCAGGGGAGCCCCAAAAATGGCGGTGAACAGCTTCCTAAAACCCATAAAATTATAGCGTCAAAAAGACACACCCATGAATGTTAACTTCGGATGAATCAAAAGGACCGGTCAGCAAATCTCATCCTGAAAGTCCCAGACTCGTTGGGCCTGGAAAGGTCCAGAAAGGTGCAAACCCAATTAGGATTCAAACTCTAAGCAGTTCATGTCCAAAACTTCCATTCGCTGAAATGAATGTGTTTTTCTTGTTCCCCCTGTTGGTTTTAAAGGGAATCGATTTCGCTACTGGACATTTGTTCACATTTTTCGCAGGGGTAAGACCCATGGAAGAAAGAGAGCCTCCAGCTTGGGCAGTGTTTCTCTTTTGTCCCGCAAAGCTTGCTGGCGCGATAGGCAGGGAGTGACCCAGCCCGGGTGTGTTCCCTCAAAGGAAACCACAGGGATGGTGTGTAGAATAGGGGTCATTCCATTTCTCATTCCCTGCGAACCAAAACATGAGGTCACCTTCGCAAGATTGAATGGTTCCAACTGTGCCATGGGAGTCCGTGCTTGCTCGAGTCAGAAAGGGTCCTGGTATGTCGATCCGCGTGTAAGCGCTCCGAAACTGAGTTTTATTTGCACGTTGTATGCTTGTTCAAATACTAGGTTCCCCAGTTTCTCACCCCTTTTTTGGGGAGGGTTCCCCTACTAAAACCGACAGGAAAAAGTCAAATCTGGAGGACCTAGAATAGAGGCTCGCTAAGATTGGACTTGTCTCCTTTATGGTTCCCCTTCCTCGCCATTGAAAGGGGGCAGTTGATTTAGGACGCCATTTGGCATCTTCGGACGCATTTGACATTCGTATGTGCCCTTCATCTTGCTGGAGCTCAGGAGGGAATGAGAAATGGAATGACCCCGAAATAAACCATCCCACTGGTGGCTTCCTTTTTCTGGGAACGCCCTGGGTTCATTCCTACATTCCCTACCTATCGCACCAGCAAGTCATGTCTTATGTCTTGACCCTCTACCGAGTTCTTGTTAAGTTATGTCTTCCCACCAGGGGTATGGTTATGGATATGCAACAAGACGCCTTGTTCAAATGGGCGGCTTGTCTTTGAGGTTGGATCCCCCCCCTAGAAGGCTGGTTTAGGTTTTCTGGTTGGTTTTTTCCCCTTCTCAACCACCAACAAAGGGGTACCGAGCCTCAAAAAAGACGACCACCTAAATACCCCAATGCGGGTGGATCGGCCTCGGAACAGCAAACAGATTGGGGGATCGGTGTGACTTTGAAGCGGCTGCGAGGCTCGCGTGCACGCCGAGGCGCGTGCCGGAGAGCTTTTGCGCAAGAAGGGTGGCTGAGAAGAGCCTCCGAACATGGGACCTCCCCTTTCAGCTGGTTTGAAAGGGAAAGGCCACCGACAAGACATGCTTTCCCTCTATCCAAGAATTATGGCGGATCTTTGGAGTTCAAACAGGACGGATTCTCCATTGGACGTGCAAAAAGCTTTTGTTTTGGGTTTAAGATAGTTGCTGAGCAACCAAGGCAATAGGGGAGTTCCTGACCTTTGGGGCAGCGAATTTGAGTTTCAGCCGCACGTTGGACGCCTCCTCCATCGACGGATCTGTTTGTGCAGCCCGCCCACGTCGGTTTTTTGGGGCCGAAGCTTCATAGCAGCCTGGGATGAGAAATTCAGAGCATCCGGGCTTGAGTTGTTGTTTTTTTGGTGTTGTGTTTTTGTTTTCCTGGTGTAGAAATGTCCAGATTGGACTCCGTTGCCGCTTTGCCATTTTTTTAACACGCTTTGCGGAACGCGCGGAAGTTTGCCGAGATTTCCCTAAGATTCGTTTCGGCGAAATGGGACGTGAAAGTTTGGAGCAACGCCGCACAGGCTTTTTGTTGCCACCCAGTTTCAGTGTATGTCTACTCTAAGCAAGCAAGTGAACTGCAAACAAACGCGGGGGTTGGCGTCCTGATTTGGTCACACATCTGTGAAACAGCGACGGTCAAAACATACTTTGCTGACTTGAGTGGAGCAAGTCTCAGCTTTGCCTGGCATTCCCATGTTGTCACATTGGAAGGGCAATGAACACAGAACTCCAGTTCTTGTGGCCTTCTTCGGGGCTTGCAGCTTACTTGAGTCATTGAGCGTATGGACAAAGGACCGCTTGTTTCATGAACATCAAGGCATTGTCTTGGGTTTCCCGTTTCGCTTTGCTTTACCCACCTTGGTTCCCATTGTCGATCGCCACGTTTCGGGGGGGAAAAACACGTGCCTCACACCAGTGAGAAGTGCGGGGTTTTGAGCAAGATCAGATGATGTTTAGGGTTGACCCCGTTTCGGACTTGAGTCACTTGTTGGTTTTGGACCATTTTGGTGGCAACAGAAAGTTTAAACTTGTTCGGGCCAGCCCACTCGATCCGAAGTGAGGTTTAGAGAGAGGCCTTGTCAACCCCCGCTTTCTGAATCATTGCTTGAGGCCCATCTAGGGAACGAGCTGATTTAGGACAGCTTCACACTGGTCTTAGGGAAATCTGCATCTTCAAACAAGAGTTGTGATGTTTGGTTTGTGTGTGAAGCCAAAGGAACAAAGCTACCTTTCCCTAGGGCCCGAAATGATCTGCAAGACGTCTGGATGTCTCATGTTTCGGGCTCTGAGGGATAAACCGTTCGTTGTCCCCTAACTCGTTGCACTCCCCCCCCCCCCCCCAGCTAGTTGGTAGGATCGTCAGCTCCCCCAACGCGTGGGGTCCCTATCGTAGGTGAAATGCTAGTTGGTTCGATCGTCAGCGTTTTTTAGGTGCTCCGCAACGGGAACCCAGGAATGATCCAACTCCTGTTTAATAAAACTCTCTTAGGGGCATCACATTGAGGGAAACCTTCATATCTTTTTGCGAAAGAAGTCCCTCATCCACCTGATTGAACAGACAACTGGTCAACCTTAAATTCCATGGCCTTGGTACGGTGCAGGGGGATTGATGATGTATTTAAATACTAGGTCCCCCAGCCAGGTGCCCTTTCATTTCTTTTCACCCAAACGGGCTGCCTTGCGACACTTTGAGCTGGCTGCAAGCTGATCCTGCTCCCCGTGTGAAGCCCCCCAGTTTGCGGCGTGCGCTTGCATGGTGCCGCTGGACCACTTCCTGCCCGGTCTCAGAGCATCTGCCAACTTTAGCTCGGATTTCTCCTGCGCCATGCCCGAAGGTGGTTTGCATGCTGCTCCCTGGTATTCACTGACTGCGGCGAGGTTGCTTTTTGCCTTCCAGGACAGCATTTTTTCCTCAGCACATCTGTCACAGATGCTATGTTGGGTGTATGTCTTTTTCCCCACAGCTGGAAGCTATGATTTTGGCCTCTGCCCAGTTGCGCAGTCTATCTGTGCTTTTTCTCTCAAGCCCACCTGCGGTCACGGGATGCGTCGAGTGGTTTTCACGCAGTGCCTGGTTCGAGCTGGTCATGCCATGGTCTATACCGAGTTGCCAGCGGATCCGTCCCCACATGCCCCGCAAGAGGATGCAACCAGGCTGACATTTGCCTCCAACTGCCGCGTGGATTTGTCCAGCAGTGACAAGGAAGAGGCCACTCCCACGCCACGGGAGTGGACATTCGAGATCAAGTACGAGTTTGACTGTCTTGAAGGCGCTCCACACCACCCAGAGCAGAGTCGCAAGCACACTCGGTGGCAGGCGCCGGTCTTCACCTGCAAGGACACCGAGAAGGTGATTCCACAGCTCGGCAGCAGGCTAGACGCCACTCTCACGCAGCAGTGAACCAGGAGTGCCCCGAAGTGGTGTGCGACGTTCGCGGGTCGCGCGCCATCTTCCGTAAGGGGGCGCAGGGCAAGCTGTTTCTGGTTTGCACCCAATGTCCCTGAGGATGACCTGCCGCGCCCCTTTCACCTTTTCACTGCACTATTTTGAGCAGCAGCAGAGCATCTGCAGAGCCGCTGCGCCACAGACTGACAGAGTGTGAACATCTGCGAGCCCTTGGTTATTCTTGGCCCAGGCCCTCAGTTCCGGGACTTTCGTCACTGGGGCTTGGACAACCCCAGTAGGGAAAAAGTTCCAGGATTTTTTTGGCCAATCCAAGCTCTGGGGTCTTTGCCCAACAGGCTCGGTGGTTCGGATTTGGAAAGCACATCATGAGGCTCTTGAAACAAGGCCTCTTCAGTGGCGCTGGATGTTCACTGCTTTCACGGGAGCAGCGCTGGATTTTCAAATTGCGCTGGAGGAATAGCACGCGTATTTAGTTTTACACGCGTATTTAATTTTACTGGAGTGTCGCTGGAATCTCTCTAGTGTGGCACTTTCACTTCGCCGGATTTTCGCTAGAGTGGCACTGAATTTTCACTCTGTATTTCACCGGAGCGACAGAGGATTTTCACTGGGGTGGCGCTGGAAGCACAACTTTAAAGTTGGTTGACTGGGTTTGTTGACCTTATGAGCCATGGGAGAACACAGGAATTGCATGGGAGCTTTGCTGGGTTGTGAAGGGTGTTGCTTACCTCCTTGCAAGGAACAATGGGTTTGAAGCGGCCTTGTTTGCAGCGGTCTATGATTTTGCCCATTAATTGGAGCACCTCTCAAGAAAATTTGGGAAGGTTCTCGGGTTGCCGTTGAAGATACCATCTGCGCTTATTTCTTCTGGTCAGCGGGCACGTCGCGGCTGTCACTACCTCACTACCTCCAAACCACCCCCAAAAACAACTGCCCCCATATGATCGAAAAATTGCGGTGGCTATATTGTGGTTGTGCATCCCATGACCCCCCGACCAACTCTTTATTGGCAATATCCCCCTGGTCGCTCAGACAGGAGTTGGCCCGGCTGCAGCAGGAGTTCGAAGAGCCACTCAGCAACACTTCCGTCGGTTCCATGTGGTTTGGGCTCGTCTTCTTCGGGAAAGAACGGGGTTGTTTTTTTTGCGTTGGGCTTAGAAAGACGCGAGAAGGACAAACCACCCATTTTGTTAGGGGCACCCATTTTGACACCGCGCCTGGAATGGCAACCATTGGATTGGGATGGCGGCAGCGTGCCAATGCCTCAGGGAACGTTCGGAGAAATAGAATCATTGTGTTGGCTCTAAAAGAGGCACGGTTTTTTGCTACCCAAGGTCATTCTGTTTAGAGGCAGCTCCTTGTTGGAGCCCTCCTTTTGGCAAATGTTTCTGGTTAGTTTGCAGGGAAGTGGATCTTGACAGTTTCGCGCATTACAGAAGGCTTGCTGACCCCAGAGGGCAGTAGGCGCAAACTCACGCAGTTTGCAAAGAAAGTTCTCTCGTTTGGCCGTCCGGCTCTCCAATTGTCGTGTGTTTCCTCAAGCCGCTTATGAGAAAACAACTCACCCTGGTGCTGTTTGCCCTGGAGTTACGGAAGCTCGGCTTGGCCGGCCTGACATGGGAAACAAACCCGCGAGAGTTTTTTTTTGCTCTTGAAACATGTTTGGTCGTCAAAAGGGGAGTCAGCCGGCAACACGTGCGCTTCAATGGCAAAATCTTCCCGACGTGCTTTATTCGAGAACTCAGCTGCGATTTCATATTGCCAATCTGGAATTAGCACGTGTTAGCTTCGGAACTTCTAGTGTAGCCCCCTACTTCCAACTCTTTTTGCCCCGAGGAAAAGACATGAGCTGCTCTGTTTGGCAATGACATTTCAGTTTTGCCTGCGGAAGGTACTCTCAAAGTCAAGCTGCGCTTACGTGTCATGCGATGTGAAATCATTTCCAGTCCGTTGTCATTGTTGCATAGAGATCATGACCGCTGCAACAACAGCGATGGCTGCACTGCACAGCAGGTCTAACCAACTAGGCTGCCCAAAAACACACAAACGCTGGGTGTTTTGGCCCAGACCTCTGATCAAACTAGTGGGGTTGGGCAAAATTTGGGCTAAAGCAACTAGACCTTTTGAAGCATTTGCCTCTAGAACGTATATGACCAACGCAGCCTGTGCCCCCTTGCACAGACCAAGAGTGTTTCGCGCAGGAAGTGAGAACTAAAACACGTTGGACGAGGGGCACCCGTGGACTTCCCAAGCTTCCACCGGACTTGACCTGGCGCGTGGCGCAGCCGAGGCGACAGAAGAAGGCCGAGGAGGCAGCTCAACACAAGATTGAGGCGCCTTGGCCGTAGGCACAGAAGTCACTCGAGTAGCCTCACTCCCGGAACTAGGCTTGAAAAGCCTGGTTTTTGCATAAAATCATGCATAAAACCCTAGATGTTGCATAAAGTAGGCATACATTCCTTTGTTAAATGCTCAAGTATGCATTCACTCCCGGTCCAAACAACCATGGTAGCCTTACTTCCTGAGTTCCTGGACCGTAGTCATTTTTTTTGTTTGGACCACTTTGGTGAGAAAGTTTAGACTTTTTCTTGGCCAATCCACTCGGGAGGTGGGAAGCTAAGCAAGGTGTGAAGTGATTTGTGATGCGCCTTTGAGAAATTTGAGCAAACAGGAACACCAAAGGAAGCCGACCCATTTCTTTGGTTCAAAACAGACGTATACAAGCAACCTGGCTTCGAAATTTGTGGTGATCCCCTCCATGTTGAACGACCCGGTCAGCCCAGTGAAACAGAAAGGCCTTCCCTAGTCCCGCCCATTCCCAAAACAGAATCCATAGAATCCTACAGATGCCTTACTTCCGTTTCCTAAAGGAATATGGTTCATTTGTTCCTTGATCGAAAGAAAATCCAGCACTGGACATATTCGCTTATGTTGTTGTCTCCAGGGGCCGCGAAACAAAAAGAAGAAGCAAAAAACACACAAAAAACTGAGAAAACCACAGCAGACACAACAACAATCAAAAACACACACACACACCAAAAGAAACGCCAGTGGACGCCTCTTTTGAGGGCCGAGGACGTCCGCCGGATCGGCCGATCCAGCCTTCAGGAGCTCGAGAAGAAAGCCCAGAAGGCAGCGGCTGAGGAAGAAGGCCCTAAGTCGACATGAAAAAAAAGGCGGACGGTGTTGGTGTTATTATATATACACATATGCACATATATATATATATATATATGTATGTTTAAAACAAAACACAAAAAAGTAACATGAAAATACAAATAACTATATGCTACTTGTGTCTAAGGAAACAAGCACCGGTCCCTTGATTACAACGGGTGGCTCCCGGCGAATCATCCGGTTCAACTGAGCTTTTTAGTTTGTAGTTGGTCTAGTGGTTTCCACATTTAAACCCACAAGTTATTCACTTAGGGGGTCTCAAAACGGGCAGCCCAGTAAAGGAAAGCCAGAAGGATGTTTAAACAATAGTGGTTTTAACATGGGTTCCACTAAGCGATTGATGGGGATGGGTCGAACCCAGCAAGGGTGGCAACTGGAGCTGGGGTGCGACCAATGCAATTGACTTCCTGACTTGGGTGGCTTTCAGCCAGACCGTTGAGTGATAGAGTCCATTTATCCAGGGCTCCTCAAGGATACATTTTGCAACCATTTGAAACATGTTGCTTTTTCAACACCAATATAAAAAGACACCACCATTGACAAGTTGCAATGTGCAGGTGTATAATGCATCCGGATCCCTGTTATCCACTAAAAGTTTATTCACTTTTAGCAGGGGATCTGAGGGCAGCTGAGTTCATGGATTAAGATCACTTTGATTTTTGACCATTTTAGCGGTCAATAAAAGTTAGACTTTGTTAGCCAAGCCACAGAAGGGAGAGACGACAACAATCCTCATAATTTTAATGGCGAGCTCACCGATTCGTGGGTAAAACGAGCGGAAGCCATGGCAAAGTTCCTTTTCTACTTGAGGATCCGAATCTTATTTCAATTTTTGGAATTATTGTAAAATGTGGAGAACAATGGTTGTGTGGACGGACTGGGTGGATCAAAAAAAGGCACCCATACAAACATCAGAAAGGCGTTTAACTTGTCATTCAGCTGGAAACCAAGAGGAGGTAGGTTTCTTTCTTTTTTTCCAGAGCTTTCTCTGACAGGGCTGCGGGTTGCGCCTTGATCCAACACCCTGGTTCAAGGACTGCCAGGCAATCCCCAGCTTTTGCTGAATTCAGATGTGAATATTTTTTGGATAGGTCCCCCAGTAGTGCCCTTTCTCACCCTTTTTTGGGGGAGGGTTCCCCTACTAAAATAGACTACAGAAAAGGGGACCCTTATTCTAACCTCTCTACTGGCGGACCTAGTGGTAATGAAACACATTCTACTGGACGACAAGGCAAACAAGTTCAGACGGAGACTTGAAGGGTCCATCAAGTTTGGACGTTCCAACAGTTTCCCAGGACTTTTGAGGAATCAGGTTGAGGGGCTGACCCGGTTTTGTGGTCCTTTTGGGGCAGGATCAAAGCTTCATAAGTTGTTTGCACGTATTCCTATCCCATGCATGGTTCCGACGATGGTTGTGCTTTGCTGGGCGCATGTCTCGTAGTACGTATTCATGGTTGGTCCTTTGAAGGCTCCCTTCTTAGCAAGATGTGTACATGTCCTACACACGTTTTTTCCGTCCTGATACTGAAGGTTTTCTTCATCCTTGTGATTTTTGAAAGTACAGATAAAGGCGGACCCTTTTTTTGTTTGGGAACCATCCCTCGGGTATCCCCGAATTGGTGGTTTGAATTTTCGACCCGGTTCTTGTAGGTGAAATGGGGAAACAACCGTTCACCTCACATGCCAAGGTCCTGGTCTTCGGAAGACAGTTTTGGTGGCAAGCACTGGTTACTTCCGGGGTAGACTTAGGATACATTTTTCATTTTACCAGCGACTCAAAAAGAAGCAAACCATGAAATAGTGAAATACGCATTCTATAGGTGGGCCTAGCTCTAATCATGACTTGTTTGAGCCAATCGTGCAAAAAATGAGTCGAAATCAAACCACCGGTTCGGCTCCATTCCACCAGGGCTTCGGGGCCGGGGGCGCATGGCATGCGCCCGCAGGGCACCGTCAGCATGAGCTCGCCATGCAGAAGCTGGAGGCGAGGGTCGGCGGGCGGCGTGGGAGCCGCGGGACTCGGAGGGCCACTTGCCCTCCCGGCCGTTTGTTCCTGACGTACAGGCCCCGTTTTGAATGGAATGATCAGGGCTCCGGTAAAAGATACGTTTTGCAACCAGGTGAAACATATTATGTTGCTTTTTCAGCAGCAAAATACAGGGAAGCCGCCGTTTACGAGGCAATGCTCAGGTGTATAATGCATCCGGATCCCTGATGATCCGAACCGTAACACAGAAGGAACCGTCCCACCTTCGACACGTCCCTTTGAAAGGAAAGTTGCCTTCCAGGACTCCCCCGAATCGTTCGACGTTCGGGACAGCACAGCGTCCAGGACCCCCCGAACCTCGAAGGGTTCCATGTAATTGGATGTGAATTGGTGGGAGGTTACCTGCCCTGAGAGAGGCCCAAGTTGCATGCGGGTCTGACTTGTTATTTTGTGGGTACCCCTTTGTGGGGCGGGTTCAAAGCGAAGCCGGAGGGAAGACCAGCGTTTTCGTGGTCCCCTGTTTTAAGACAACATGTTTGTCCTTAGCAGCGGCACACAGTTGGCCAAATCATTACGCAAATGACAACTCTATGATCATGAGGTAAGTTGGCTGATGAGTCCTCCAACACCCCATTCCAATAATTTTGGCACTTCTGATATGTTTCCTCTTTTGGAAGGGTCAAGCACTACATTTCACAGTTCACCATGCAAAGTTTGGGTGGGAACTATGGCCCTGACCATTGCAATTGTCAGCTTGCCTGCAAAATAGGGCGCCTGGTTTTGGGACCCGCGTGCTGACTTGTCCGGGTGTGAAAATCCCTCTTGAAAGATCTCAAATTCCGAAGCGCTTCGGAGGACATGTCGCGTGTTTGCCAACATGTGTTCGCAATGGCCCACGTATGTGTATAAACATAGCGGTATATATAATATATAATACCATGTGTTTGGCTCTTTTTTTCCTTCAGCTCCCTTTTCAACTCCTGCGTGCCCGCTTAAGCGAACCCCTCCCCCGGCTTTCTGTCTCAGGAGCAGCTGATGACGGTCATGCCTTTGGTGAAGGAGGCACTCAAGTGGCCCCGCTTTTTGCGGCAAGTCGTTTTTGGGAAGTTCGGGGGCGGGGTTTGTGTTTTTTTTTTTTGGGGGGGGGGGGGGTATTGGGGAAGGGGTCGGTGTTGTGTATTTTTGTATTTTTTTGCTGAGGGCCCTCTAAGCCATATTTCGCACTCCCGAAGTTCATGGACACTAGCCCGACTTGTTGAGCTTGGACAAAAGTTTGGACTTGCTTTTGGCCAGTCCACTCAGCAAGTGAGATATTTGCAGGGAATGCGGTATGGTGTTTTGGAGCGTGCCCTTGGCAGGTTGGTTTAAAGGGGAAGCCAAAAGGAGAGTCACATTTTTGGGGGTACCCCTATGTTGCTGCATGCCAGGAATCTCTACGTTGTCATGTTTCGCGTTTTAAACATCACCTTGTCAGCCGATATAAGGTGAGTTTTGCTTGGCAAGTGTGATGTTGTAAGGGGGCATGCAGGGAGTTGGGCATGCGGGGAGCTACGATTCATGTTGCATTCTACTGGCGACGAAAAGGCAAAGAATCAAGTGAAGGTGGATTGCAACAGCGCGTACTAGAATCTCCGAAAGTGTGTTGTGTGTGTGATTTACGTGTTTCATAGGTTTATGGCCCCCTTTCTTTGGAGGCACTGCATGCTGTGGCGAATGAAATCGAGCAAGATCACCCATCAAAGTTCCTCCTTGAGTTTCTCAAGATGGTGACCCAAAAGAGCAAGCCATGTTGGGGGTTCCCCTGTTTTGAGAAGCCTCCACTTCGATATGCTGAGGTTGCAGAATTATGACTCTGGCATGTTTGCAGGTTCGGGTGCGATTCGGGTGCGGCTGGGTGGTTGAATTTCAATTTCAGCTGTCCAAAGCAGATTCGCGGCCAACAGGTGAACCTCGTAATTCCTGGCTCTTCTCAGATTTAATGGAGATTGCTAGTACTTAATGCGCATCATCCCTCACATATGGCTGTGGGTCAAAACCAATGGTACCATTTTGGGGTAGGTGCACCACCCATTTTCGTTTATATCAGTGGGGATTGGGATGTTCACTGGAGGGTACGATTTGGATTTTGCTTCATGGCCATATCAGAACCATGTGTATTGGCGGTCGTTCGATTCCCACTGGACTTCAATTGAATCATCACACGTTCTTTGGGTGAAGAGCTAGCGCGGATTCAGACGATGTGTGCTTGATTCTGCCGGCTTATGATGGGCAGGTTTGCCTCTCCCTGGATTTTGGAAATTATCATATGGGTGTGGGTCAAAATTAAACCACCAGGGGACCGCAGGTTTTGGTCTATGTTGCCACTTACTGGGGTTCCATTTTGGGTACCAATTCTTGACCCACATCCATATCTCTTGTTTGATTACGTACCTGCATGATGTGGTGCGCTTTTCCACTCGTCAGGCGAACCTCATCATTGCAGAGCTGCAGAGGCAGCTCGCGGCAAGTCAGTCCGGGTGAATCACATGAGCCACAATCATAACCCGGGTAAGTGAAGGTTAGAAAGGGACGATCCCAGCCATAAATAGCTGCGGCCGCCTTCTTAGTTCCATTTTTTTAATACCGGGTTTTGATTGTCACTCACATGAAGCGTTCGTTTCGCGCTGCCAACCCCAAAGAACAGGCGAGTTTGAACAGGGTCCCAAAAGCCCGCGGGATGTGGGTGGTCGTGTCCTTTGGCGACATTTCCCAAATCTCGCCAATGTCAGGGGAACAGCTCACCCCTCCGCGCCCCCTTTCCGGAATGCATGCTGCATCCGGCAGTCAAGCGAAACCAGTGGACTCAACAAGAATACCCATATGTTCAATGTTTTGAGATCCAAGCAAGTTCATGGTTTCCAATGATTTTATCAAACTTGTCGGGGTTACTTGCAGATGGCAGGGATGTGGAGAGGGATTATTGATTCATTGCACCCCGGATACCCTTGGGGGGTTTGAAGGTTTGGGTGGACACCCCGACGGAATGAAATTATCGGGGTAACTTCCCCATTCTTTCCAGGGATCCTTCTTTCTAGAAAACCGCCAAAACCCCTGGGGAACTGGGGAAATGGATCTGGTTTGTGATAAAATAACGATGACTGAAAAGAATGGTTGGAAGCAACCCCTAGAATTATCAGGACTCTTCTCGATAAGTTGGGGCTTCCTCAACAATCACCCCAAGTTTGCTTGCCAGTTCTGATATATACCCCAAGACATTCTTAAAGCCGGGGTTCACAGGGAAAGCGGCCATTGACGAATCCTCGAGGGAATGGCTTTGGAGCCTCGAGCCTCACCCACCCAGTTTCCCAGTGGATCCCGCCCCTGTTTTCAACTGTTTTTTGGGAAGGGTTCCGATTCCTTTAAAGTCAACCCACCAAAAATTGGATGCCGATCCTTTTTGTTCCCATGGAAACCCACTGGGCATCTGAGCCTCACCCCTAACCCCTAAATCCTAACCCCAATACCCAGAAACCCCAAACCCCAAACCCCCAAACTGACACCTCGAGCAGGGAATGACATGGATCTTCCTCAAGCCTCACGGAAGATCGCTCCGCGCTCCGCGTCAGGCCTCAGCGCCTGGAGACCAAGATGCACTGCGAGCTCACGGCGGAGGGCAAGAGCGGGCCGCGGCACTCAGACGCGAATCGAGTGGATGTTCGATGTTTGGACCTCCAACCAGAAGGACAAGGACTCCAACAAAAAACAAGCAGGGGGTTCCATTTGAAGCTTGCCTATGTTGTTTGATGAAGTCCATTTGAGCTTCCATTTGCTAAAGATGTTTGTTTAAGGTTTCCCGCGTTGGTTTTGAAGGGAATCGATTTCGCTACTAGACATATGTTCACCAATTTTTGCCTGGGGACTTAATCAAATGGAGGCAACACAAACAGGATTTGGACACCAAAAAACAAACAAGGTTCCTTTTGAAGGTGTTTTCTCGGTTTCGCTGAAATGAATATGTTTCTTTTTCCCCTGTTGGTTTTAAAGGAAATCGATTTCACCACTGGACATGTGTTTTTTCTTTCCTGCAAACTTATGCAGATGGAGGCAACACAAAGAATTTGGACTCCAAAAATCCAATCAGAGGGTTGCATGTGAAGGTGTTTTCTCAGAAAATGATTGGTAAATGGGTTGCATTTGAGCTTCCATCTGCTGAAAAAGATTTTCACTACTGGATATATGTTGCCATTCTTTTGTGGGGCTAAGCAATAGAGGCAACACAAAGGATTTGGACCTCGCAAAAAGCATGTTGCGTGTGTCACACAGGACTTTCACTGACATAGAGGGCCCTTCTTTTCCATGGCCATTCTTCTCTTCCCAGATGCTTGGGCTTTGCGCGGAATTGGCTCCCAGAATCTCCAAAAAGTTTGTCGGAAAAGTTAGGATGAATGAGGCGTCCATGTCAGCATGTTGTCACTTAGTTTTTTGGCTTTGTCGTGTAGTGGTTACTGGTTGGGTGTCCATTGACCCCACTAAAAGTTACACGTGCTTTTAGCCGGGGATCTGAAAACGGGCCCATGCGACTGCAAGCCCAAAGCCCCCGAGCCCCGAGGGTCCGAGCTGAAACCGGAGCTCCAGCGACCGGAGAGGGGAGTTGGCACCCTTTTACTTGTCTCGATCTATGAACCTTGTGAGCCAAAGAGCCAGAGATATGAGGGAGCGAAAGAGCCGGCCCAATGGTAGTTAATTACCTCGCGCCCTGAGTTCATGGACTTTAGGCACTTGGGTTTGGACCAATTCTAGTAGAAACAAAGTTTGGTGACCATGGTGACTTTTTTTTGGCCAGTCCACTCAGTAAGTGAGCTTTGGATGTCGGTTTTAGGGAATCCAGGCTTTTTGATTGAGGGTTACAGGGTTAGGTGCTTTGACTAGGCCGAGCTAGACTTGAACCCAGTGTAGTTGTTTTTTTCTATAAAACAAAGCAAATGAGAACTCTGCTTGAGGTACTCGGATGGCAATTGGGGGCCCCCCTTTGACACAAAGCGATTGGACTTCCAGTGGACATCGACGCATATCGACGCGTCGAATATTTCCTTGGGTCAAGGGGTGCCTCCCAGGACATTGGGGGCTCACGTTGTTTCTTCATCTAGACTAGGTCACCCAGCAGTGCCCTTTTCTGCCCTTTTTGTGGGGGAGGGTTCCAACCTACTAAAATAGACTACAGAAAAAGGGTTCCTGGAGGACCTAGTAGATCGCGGTGAGGCGCTTTGAAACTGGAAGGTTCATTTGTCATAACTGACTTGGGTGGCGAATTCTTGGTGGCTCCCGGCCATCCGGTTCCTTAGCCTTTTTGGCTTTTTAGTGTTTAGTGGTAGTTTTCATTTAACCCATTAAAAGTTAAGCTTTAAGGGGGGATCTGAGGGCAGCCCAGAATTATGATTCCAGATTGGATTTCCTTCACCAACCAGAAGGCTCTTCAAAGACCCATCAATCGTGGGCAGTTATTCCTTCCTCGGAATCCACCAAAAAGGTCCAGAGTATCGGTGAGCCAAAACCATGTGGCAGGAACATCTGCAAGTTCTGTTTTGTGTTTGGTTTGCCAGGACCCTGGCCACCCCGAATCTCTTCAATTCTGGGAACCTGTTGGTTTTGTCTGACGAGTTCTGCATGCGTTTGGTTTCAGAGGCAAAACACGACCAATTAGAGGGAGGAGTCTCAAACATGTTGGAATTTCCGATAAAACAATATGCATGATCCGTTTGATTTGGAGGCAGAAACAAAAAAAGACATCACCCCTCCCCCCCCCAAAAAAAAAGAAAGAAAGAAAGAAGAAACAAAAACAAGAAACACAACAACATGACGTCACCTCCCAAAAAACTAGAAAAGAAATAAGGAAGCACGAAAAAGAAAAAAGAAGAAGAAGAAGAAGAAAAACAACACGGACAAACGGACACATGTCCCCGACCAGAGCCCTAGGGCGGTGAACGTGGCCGCCGCGGTGATGCTCAATGGCCGGAGGACCCACCCCGGCCTTCCCGGCAGCTGAGCCGGAAGCTTTGGGGTAGACTTGGGATACTAGGTGCCCCAGTAGTCCAGCAGTGAACCCAAAATGGCTGGTTTTCCTGTTGGTTTCCGTTCAACCAGCCAAAAACAGGCACCAAGGTGCCCCAGTAGTGCCCTTTCTACTGGGTTGGGAGGGTCCTACTAAAAGAGACTACAGAAGAAAAGGGTACCCTTATTTGAACCTCTCTACTGGAGGACCTGGGATACATTTTACATTTTACCGGTGACTCAATCTACCCTAAATGTAAAGTATACCCTGTTACTTCTCTCATCGACCCTGTGACACATTTTGTTCTACCAGTTTACATTTTACCAGTGACTCAAATTGAAGCAAAGAATCGAAACATACATTTTATAACTGGGCCTAACTCTACTCATGCGGGCCCCCAATTGGCCAATTTGCAAATGGGTCACCAAGTTTTGTTTTATTTCGGGGTCCTGCGAGCTTCCATGTTGAATCGCCCGGAGGTACCCTTTTTGGGGTGGGTTTGAAGGGAGACGAAGACGGAAACCACACACATTTTGTCTTTTCGGCTTTGCTTTTCTGCCAAGGTCACGGTTTGCGTGTCTTAGTGTAGCTTTGAGGTGAGAAACAATTATTGGTGTGCTGTTGCTTTGAGGAAAGGCGCGGGGACGACCAAAAACAATACGAAAGCAAGCAGGGGACAACTCAATCGTTCAATGTCCTCTTGGGAAGCAAGCAAATTTGTCCGCGGCTCAGAGGGGCTATTTGGGAATTCCTTAGTGGTGCGTGAATTGCCGTTCTCTCAAGATCGGCGCTTTCAGCGCCCCACTGCAGCTTCTGTTTCTTTCCTTCTTCGGTTTCTTGGGGGAAATGGTAGCACGTTGTTAGATCCCCAGTTGCCCGGTGGATTCCGGCCTTTTTCTCCTTTGTGTTGGCAAGGTAACCTCAACCAACCAGAGAATATCTCGACCAACCAGCAAATAACTCAGTCAACCAGAAAATAACTCAACCAATTAACAAATAACTCAGTCAACCAGAAAATAACTCAACCAATTAACAAATAACTCAGTCAACCAGAAAATAACTCAACCAACCAGAAAAAAAAAAAGGATGCCCCTTTTTTCCCCATGGAAATCCACTCATCTCAGGATCCCCTCGTTTGCTTGACGGACCTCACCGACTGAGACGCCCCTTTTCGCTTGGCCCTGAGGCGTGAAGCTCTTCGAGTGGAATCCTGAGACCCTGGAGAACCGAGGCGGGGATTTGGCTTGAAACACGTCCGTCCCTGGGTGTGGCGTTTTTAAGGGGAGGGAGGAGGGGGGGGAGGGGAAGGGAGGGGAGGGAGGGGAAGGGAGGGAGGAGGGAGAGGAGGGAGGGAGGAGGGGAGAAAGGGAGAGGGAAGGAGGGAGAGGGACTCGCCGAATTGGCGCGACAATGTTGCTTTTGATTTCCGCGACCTCTCCGAGCGGCTTGCGACCTCACCCATGGTCAAGATTCCTGTCTAGCTGAGTGAACATAAATCTCCCATGTCAACAATGTCCACCAAAGGGTCCTCTAGCCAAGCAATATTCATAACCATTAATTACACTAAATCCCAACTGCCACTAGAGTAGGTAACCAACCTTGTCCATTTTGTTGGAAAGGATGGTTCTCTTGGTTCTGCACTGCGCAGGGGCAATGGACTCGCTGCGCGTTTTGTTTTTCTTTGCTTGTTTGGGTTGGTTGGCTGTTGCTTGTGTCCTTCACCTGGGTTTAGCAAATGTAAACCCACAAGTTCCTCCATGCCACAAGCCTCACCCGAGCCACAATCAAACACCGGGTGAAGGTTCGTAAGGGACGATCCCGGCCATAAATAGCTGCGGCCGCCTGCTTGGTTCTTGAAGCACGGTTCTGGGCCGCCCATTCTTGTACCGGGTTGTGAGCAAGTGACGCGCCTGAAGGCAAGCCGTCCGGGTTGTTCCCCCGCATTTCACGGCCCTGGGCGCTCGATTCGATCGACGAATCGACGCATCGACGAGTCTTCATCCTGCGGGAGCTCCTGCAGAAGGCGGAGGACGACGGCCTCGAGGCGGTGCAGGACTCCGGTGCTCCGGGCGCGTGGGGGGAAGTCAGTCGCTGGGCGGTCCGCTGTCGGAAGCTCGGCTGGGTCCCCCAGTTATTAGTGTAGTGCCCTTTCTCACTTTTTTTGGGTTGGGGGGTTCCAACCTACTAGTTCCGTTTCGGACTAGTTCCGTTTTGGACTTGAAGCATATTTCGGGTTTAGAGCATCTCTGAGATAAAAACTTGTTTTTGGCCAATCCACTCGGTAGGGATGGTAATGGACCCGTTGCAGGATTCGCTTTGCAGACTTGTTTTTTTTGGTATCGTTTGTTAAGGGTTCAGACCTGAGGAAACTACGCCCCAGTCTCAACATTGGGATGGACATCGCTAGGCACCCTTCGACTCATTTTCCAGGACTGCCCCAAGGGTCATGATTTCTCCAATGCAGACCCTCGGACCCTCCAATTTAAAAGCCCCGACCCCTCCCGGGCCTCAAAAGACCATTTCGAGGGCCCCAAAACCGTCGTTTCGGATGGATTGGTGAAAATTTGAATTTGTCCGTTGGCTTCAGAGGTTGCAACGCTCCTGACTTGTAAACTTAAGTACTTTGTATGGTTTCAGTACACCATTTTGAGCCAACGGTCGACATGAACCCCGCGTGCTGTCCACGTTCTTAAATGAGCTGAGGGAGACATGAGACGGGCCCCATGAGGTTGTGGCTTTCAGTTGAAGGCTGGAGTGTACAGGAGACTGAACATCTGCAGCATGCCAATGCTGGACGCTGGAAGCTGGAGGTTTGTAGAACAGCTGACTCAGCCCAGGATTGGCCAGATCATCCATCCATCGAGTCCGTGCAAACAACGGCCACTTTGGTTCATTTCATAGATCCAGCTGGTTGGGGGTTTGGATCCCCTCGGCCAGCGCCAAGAAAACATATCTGTCAAAAGGGGATGCACAGGTTTTAACTTTGCTGCATTTTGCCAAGGGATCTTAGTTTTTTTTTTTTTTACAACTAGTTGTTGTTTTTTTTCTAAACGTTAAACATTTTTGGCAGGGGAGAAGAAAGCAACCGAGTATTGTCCAGCTTTCTTTGACCACTTTTTTGTCGATTCCGCATCGGCACAGGACCTGCCCAACGAAGAGGACCCACTCTGGGACCCAATCGAGGTGGGCCCTTTCCTTTGGCCTTTGGCTCTGTCGCGCCTCTCCACCCGAAATGCCTCGATTCAAGTTTCCCACTAGGTCCCCCAGCCAGGTGCGAGGGTTCCCCTACTAAAACAGACTACAGCGAAAAGGGCACGAGGGTTCCCCTACTAAAACAGACCACAGAAAAAAACACGGGTACCCTTCTTCGAACGCTTCTAACCTCTCTACTGGAGCTCACCCATTTTTGTCCAATTTCCAGGTCCTCTGGGCGAGCAAGCCCCGCCAAAAGGTGTGAAGCATTGCTTCTCTTTTTTTTGGATACTTTCTAGTTTCAGGGCTTCAACGAAGGGTTGAAAGCCTCATTTTCTGAGTTTCTGGACTTGATACTTTTGGGGATTGCCATTTTAGTGGTATGAATCGGTATGAAAGTTTATCCACTCAGTCGGGAGTCGGAAGTGAGAAACCCTGAAGTCAGAGGCGCCCCTTTTCCTTTTTGGGTCACACAGGTTGGGGGGGGGGGGCATTTCCTTTTTTCAGGGCTGTGTCCACTGCCAGGGCGAATTCATCCCTAAAGTTGGCCAGGGGCTTTTTAATATATATATATATATAGCCCAAAGGTCACTCGTCACGCGGGCCACAATGTCACAAGCAACGCCCAGGTAGATGAAGGTTATTAAGGGACAATCCCAGTCATTAAGCTCAGCAAAGCCCAAAGCGAATCGACCAGATTTGACCTTGTAGTTTTCCCTTGATCTATGTGTTGGTGGCCCCGAAAGGTCTGGGGTACACTTCGGATACATTTTACATTTAGCGACTCAAAGGGAGCAAACAATAGAATTTACATTTTATAACTGGGCCTAAGTCTAATCATGAGGTGATCACCTTTATTTTTATTTAAACAAAAACAAACATATACATATATATATATATATGTTTTGCGGGGACGAGTGCTTTTTGTTTTGCGGTTGGACGGCCTTGCAACTGGCCAGGTGGAGCGGCTCGTGGGCGTCGCACAGGTGCTGCTGGAAGGAGCCCGGCTCCCAGCCATGGGAAGACTAAAAGCTCAGCGGCTCGGAGCTCGGAGGGTTCGGGTTCCGGAGCTTGGGGAGAGATCCCGGAGGTGTTTTTGGGATAATTACCCTCTTTCTTTCTTTCTTTCTTTCTTTCTTTCCTTTTTTTTCTGGGGGGGGGTCCCTCTTATCTAGAAAAGGGATAATTACCCTCTTTTTGTTTTTTTCTTGGGGGGGGGTATTCCCTTCAATCCAGAAAAGAAATCGAAGCTCCTGGTGTTTCTTGGTTTGCTTTGCATCGGATGTGAAGCACTGAGCCTTCAGAAGAAGATCCCATGGGCCCATGGGGACACATTTTGCTTGGGAAGCAAAGGGGATGACTCAACCCATTGCCTTTGGTGCGCATTTTGCCAAGGGATGTTAGGACTTCTTTTTTTTGGCCAACTTCTGGGTTAACTCCATTAAGCCACTCAAAGTTAAAAACTTTTAGCAGGGGAGCAGAAAGCAACCGAGTTGCCCTTCATCTTCTTCGTCCAGCTAGAGAGTCAAAGTAAGCAAATCTGGTGACGCTACCACGACTTACCACAGCAGATGAAGAATTCCCTTGCCGGGGAAGCTGGGAGTATGACATCTACTTTCATTTTAACTGTTCCAAAGCTATGGCGGGTCTGGCTTGGGTTTTGGGCAAAAAAAACTGTCACCAGGAATGGGGCCTGTGGCCTTTGGGGTCTCAATTGTTGTTTTTTGCCTCTGTCTAATTTATCTGGGCGTGTCAGTTTTTCAGGGGAAGACCCTCTTGGTTCGAAAGGACAAAAGCACGGGGAAAAGCATCCCTCGCAGCCAGCGTGGCTCGCACTATCGCCCCAAGTCTGCCGCCTCACTCGGGATCCTGACCTCTACCCACTTTGTAGGAAAGGTCAGTTTTGGTTTGCTGCCCTTTGCTGGGATGTTTAGGATAAATCTTGCACATGTGATGCTTTTATTTGAACACGGATGTTCTCCCGTGGCGATGGGTGTTTCTGAAGCTAAGGGGTAACCATTCATTGGGGCAACGTGAATTTGCCTTGCAACAGTTTTGGCTTGCGACTTGTGGGCCCCATGAAGCTCATGATTTCATGAGCCCAATGTTTTGGGTTGGAGTTAGAATAACTACCCAGGCCGATTTTCGTTTGGTTCTCCTTGCAAGCCATCCCCAACTTCAAAATCAGCCTGCCGGAGGGAGCGCCTCCCCCTCAACAATTTGAGCCCAACAGCGGTCTCAGCCAGTGTTGAGAACGGAACGTGGGTCCGAGCTTGCACGCACTAAAGCTCCCAAATGGAGGGACGTTTTTGTTTTTAAAGGGGTGCCTTCTGGCTTTTTATCTGAGTACCCACCTGAGCCATGCCGTCCAACCCTTTGCTTGGGGGTCCCTTATTTCAGGTTGTGGAATTATGAGCCCGGATGCTGTGGCCAATGTGGTGTTGGCTTGGATGCGGCGAAGCGTTTTTGCTCTAGGACCCCTTTAAATGCCGCATGAGCAGGAGCTCTTCTCAAAGCTGGCAGCTGGGTTTTGCCGAATGTTTCAAGCATGGTACGCATGTCAATCCTGTTACGCATCTTTACCCCCCGGCGTGCCGATGCCGAAACCCGAAGCCGATCACTCGCCCGCTCGCAAGGTCCTGCTGCAGGTGGAGAACAAGGTGGATGCAAGGCGGGGGGCCAAAGAAGCGGCGAGAAAGAACTGGGACCGTGGGACGCGACATGGAAGCTAGGGCCCCCAGTACTGCCCTCTCTCACCCTTTGTTGGTTGGGAGGGTTCCCCGACTAAAATAGACTACAGAAAAAAGGGTATATTCTAACCTCTCTGCTGGAGGACCTAGAATGTTTGGGCGGAGGGAAGACCGGAGGACTTTCCATGCTTCAGCCGCTTCTTTGTTTGCCCCATGCTTCAGAAAGAAGTCGTTCCTCCCCACCCAGACTTGGGAATTCTTGGGGAAGCGTGGGCCAAGGTTCCGCTGCGCAGCGCATGAATGGGCCACCTTGCGTCAACCCTTCAGGCTCCCCCAAGATGCCAGCCCGGTTTTCCCCGAAGCATGCGTTTCACACTGCGCTCGTTGGCCTTTATGTGAATCATAGGCGTCTTGTGCATGCAAGTTTTGTTGCATGCGTGCTGCACACGCTAACTTGCATACGGCGCATACGTGTTTGTATGTGCCATATGCCACATGGTACAGTCATGTTATACCTGTATATATGTAGATTTGTATATGTTGACAACTTTGTCTAGATCACGTGTTTACGCAGCATATGGCATGTATTCTATCGTTCAATCGTACGTGCGCATGCAGACCACCCGGGCCAGGATTCTGAGCAGCGAGGGCCAGGCTGCGATGGCCCCAAGCTGGGTTGTCCCGAAGGATTTGGGCGGCCCCGAAAGGCGTGCCTGGCAAGCCCAGTTGGGGTCACACGAGGTATGAGTATCTCAAAAAGTAACAAGCTCAATACTCACCAGCGAATGGCAGTGGGAACACCCTGTAGGCAAATGTTGGCGGAAACCCATCATAGGAGTTACGATTTGTGTTGGGGATGTATATGATTGGGCGGCCCCTTCCTATAGGACAAATTGGGGTTTCTCAAGCAATTCGTTTCAGGCATTGGGTTTTCACTTGACAACAGCCAAAAGGGGTTAAGCAAGATGTCTCAAACTTGTGTGCCATCACCAAAAGGCCCCAGTGATTGACCAGGGCGTTTGTCGCAGCTGCGAGTCATGACCAAATTTGTCAAGGGTCATGGAGACGCCAGGTCGTGTTTGTATGTTGGTTTGCAGATGGTGGGAGACTTAGGTTGGAAGCCTGAAAGTGGAGATCATTCCCATCGCGAAGGCCAGAGATCTTGGGGTTTCGGCCGCTTCGAAACTGCAAGAAGGGCTGCGCATCAAAGAAAAAAAGCCGCTGGAGGAGTCGGTGGGGGGTGGTCAGGTACTATCCCAGACAATCCATGTAGATAATATTTACCAACGTTTGACCCAGTTGGAGGGTAAATGTTGGAATATATTGCCTACATGGATTGTTGGGTATCTTTGTGTGTGGCTGCTAGTGGAGGCAGACATTACTTCATTGTCTGTCCCTTGGTGCCAGAAAATTGTTTAGGCACTGCACCTTGAATAGGATCGAAGTTGCAATCCTTTGGGCCCGTTTTGTGCGTGTTGTTTGGCAACAAAGTTGGGGAGGTGAGCATCAACAGCATGTCCTTGAAGCGAGTCAGAACGGCATGCCTTCTCTGTTGGCATGTAGTTGCTACTTGGCTTGTCTACTAGGCGACAGGTGGAAGAGCTCACACCCTTCGGTGTGGAAGATGCGCATTCTTTGCAGCGAAGCTTAGCCCGTTGAAAGGGATGGCCCATGAGCCCAGCGGTGCACTTCGTGAGGTTTGGAGAGTTGGTTTTAGTTGGAAAAGTGGCCGGTTTCCGATAGTAAGCTGGGAAAATCATAAATTGAGAATCCTAGTTTGGAGAAGTGTTTGTAGTTGGAACATATTTTTTTTTATCATAGCTGGGAAAATATGGTTCCGATGTGCCATGTCCTATGGTAAGGTTCGGTAGTGATAACCACAGGCCTCTTCATGAAATGGCACGCGGATTCGGAGACGGAACATGTGTAGCTTTCTTCATTGACATGAAGCCCTTGGGGTTGTTTGACCACAGAACATGAGTACCCCCCCTGGATGAACATGAAGCCCTTTTGGGGCTCCGATTCCCTAAAGGGGGTTCCTCTTTGAAACATTGCTTTTTCCACCAAAATATAGGGAAACCACCATACAAGGCAATGTTCAGGTGTATAATGTAAGGCTCCCTGTGAAAGGAAACCGCCAGTTGCACTCTTTGATAGTTGGCGCTCCTTCGTAAAGGGCTAGACTTAAGTCGTTTGAACTTGTGCTCGGGTCATTCCATGTCTCATTTCCTCAGCGCAGACGGCAGGATGGCTCCTTGGGGATTCCAGACGAGGAGGTGGTGGAGGATCCCGAGGAGCTCCCTCCGGTGCCCTTTTGAGGTCGGCCTAAATCAGCTTCCCTGCAATTGGTGGTTTGGAGCCCGGTGGTTTGGTGGTTAAGGACAGTCTCCCATTTGCCCTCTACAGCAACCGGGGGTGCAAATCCAAGCCCAAACCAATCCAACAATTAGGGGATGCCTGATTAAACGGAAACCAAAAGGAAGAGAGAGCCGAGTCATTTGTGCGGTTTGACACTCTCGGGTGTCGAGAGAAGCTACCCCCCAAATCCCAAATGAGCCACTTGCTCAAAAGCCGGGTAAGAGAAGGTTGTATAGGGGATCATCTCAGCCAGAATGAGGTGGTTTTCCATTTACTGAAGAACCAACGGTTCAAATCCCCAAACCACCAATCCAAGCTGACCCATTGATCTACAGCCGCGACCTTGGTTGTCTTTGTCTCGTGGGTATCTACTCGCACCTGTATCAACGCGGAGCTGAACAATTTAAAACAAGTCGAAAGGACACAGAGAGTCACCTATTTTTGATACTTGTTATAGCTTGATCTGCATGCCCGATTCAAATGGACTGCTTCTAGGTCTGACGGTTTCCTGGATGGAGCCATCCAGCGATTCGTCTTATCGCTGGCCTTTCAACCACAGATGTTGGGCCGCTGAACACTCATTAAGTTTCCGGCAAAAAAACAGGGGGCTCACCAAATCCTCATGTGGAGGTGGCTGGCCCGAAATGGAACCCTGGCAAATGGAAAGGTGGCGACAGACCCGCATGTCCCTAACTCTTTGAATTTGAGCCACCATGAGCCACCCATGTCCTCTTGTGGAAGTTTGACGGCTATGGTTGCCACCTGGGGCCCAGAGATCACCTAAGATTTCTGGAAAGCACTTTTGCGTCTTGCTCTGGAGTTCTCAAGCCTGATGGTACTTGTTTGTTTGTTTGTTTGTTTTATTGGCTGGGGGGGAGGGCCTTCAAGCCTTGCAGTACCTTTTTTTGGAAGGGCCTTACGGTATGTTTTTCATAGGGGCGGGGGGGGGGGGGGGGGGGAGGTATTTTTTTTCTGGTTGGTTTAAAGGGACGCCAAAGGAAAACCACATTTTTGAGGGTGTCCTCTTTGTTAATATGCATGGAACCCACATGAAAAGTCCCCTCAAAAGACATTCCCGTCAACCTGAAGCTTTTGGGGTGTATGGGTGCCTCGTTTTTTTCAGGACCCTCCCCCCCAAAAAGAAGAGAGACATAAGACTAGGTGTTTTTCCTTTTGGCTTTCCCTTTGTAGCGTTTATAGCCCAGCAAAAACATGAGGCGAGCCACCCAGTCCGCCCTAGGAGTTGTTGGGATCTTGCATGAAGTTCCTGGTGTCCGTGCCGGGCGCCGTGGGGCTGCCAGAGGCGCGTCGGGATGCGCCGCGTTGACCCTGAGTACTTTGGTGGACGAGCTCGTGGGAATGGCTTTGTCGGATGTGAAGGGCTTTCATCTAACATCGGACCTAGAAAAAAGTGGATGTCCTGTTGCTGGAAAGTAGATTTAGGCCACCCATGAAAAATACGCCACCCATGGAACAAGTGGGTTTCCAGTTGTTGAAAAGTGAAGTGAGTTTGACCCATGTTCTGTGAGTGCATGCGAGGGTTCCCCCTTCTTTTTATCAAGATCATCACAAGGATAGGTATCCCATTGCAACATAAGATTCGGGCATTCCCACACCCATGTGCAAGGCATTATCATAATAACGAATGTTTTTGATTTCCAACTCAGTTCTGACAGGCGATGTTTTCCTGCCTGGTCACCTACTGAGACAACATCCCCCCCTCTCGGGCCCCCTTCACCCCCGGAGAGAAGCCCCTCCAGAAAGGTTTCAAGAATCTTTTGCGTAGGGGGACCTCAGGTTGTACTGTCCCCGGCCACCCCAAAACAAGAATGTGCGAGGGCTGCCCGTTTGGGTGGCTTGGATGGTGTTTGGAACCATCAATTTTGCGGGCCGATATGAAGTTACTTTCCTTCAAGTGTGCGCGACATGAGACGTGGCAGGCTTTGGCCAACGACGTGCGGGTGGAGTACAACTACTTCATCGATGAGAAGCTGGAGCCTGAGTGGCAGGCGGAGGAGTTCCATCCCGGGGTAGATGAAGGTTAGGAAGGGAGAATCCCAACAATAAATGGGTGTAACTGCAAGGTTATTTGAAGGTTAGTAAGGGACAATCCCAACCATAAACAAATTGGTCGCCTAAACAACATTCCTTCCCTTCGCCTCTGGGTGGGCCATTTAATATCTCCTACTGGTGCCTTTGAACAGCTAGGCTTACAATTGTGAACAGCCGGGATTGTGTGTTGGCCTTGTCTCTCGATGGTGTGGGCAAACATGCGGGGTGTCCACAGACTCGCCCCAATGCGTGGGTCGTGGCCCCCTTTTGATCTCCATTTTCCATGGTGCTGAAAAGTCATAGTTCAGCGGGCCAATCTCCAGAGAATGTGTTTTGCGCAACGCGGGGGAGGGGAAAGTACCACGGGCTGACACAGGCCCAGAGGCACGGGTTTTGCGCAACGCCGAACTTGGACGAGCAAGCCGACTTAAAACCAGGTGTCAGAGGCGAGTGGCGCCGAGGCCGCACCTGCTTCCCACGGTGCCACTCGCCTGCATCGTCGCGACGGGCAGCGCGTGCGCGGAGAGGTTTGAAAGATTGGTGGGTTGGGTTAGGGCTACTAGGTCCCCCAGTAGTGCCCTTGTACCCTTTTTGGGGGAGGCTTCCCCTACTAAAATAGGCTACAAAAAGCAGACCCTTATTCTAACCTCTCTACTGGAGGACCTAGGCTAGGTTGGGCTTAGGCTTCGGCCAGGGCTTGGAGCCCCCAAAGGACGGCTTTAGACAGAATCTCCAAGTGAACATCCTCTGCACAGGTTCACCGTTGTGTTTGATTGGAAGGCAGCCTCATTGAACTTCAGGTAGGTTTCATCGAGCACGGGGCGTGTGTAGCCAGCACTGCTTCCTGAGTGGACTGAGACCTGCCTCTTCCTGGGCCTGTCGGCATATCATTATCCACGGCCAACTCCGTCGGAGTTTGAGGGCACTCACATTCACATCAGTCTCTCAAACACATTTGGGATATCACAGAAAGGAGCCATTCTTCGGTTCGAAGACTGGGTTGCACTGAACATTGGCCGTTGGTGTCAACCAGAAGCTGAAAACTCAAGACCTTCCGTTTGCCTAAGATTACTTTGTTATGTTCCCCTTTCGGTTTTAAAGGGAGTCTATCACTACTGGAAATAGTTGAACATTTTTTCCTTAAGCAGATGTAAGAAACCTGAAAGCGTAGCTTGGCTTCCTTTTTACATGTCTCAACAGGATCAGCCTCAGGATGAATGTTTTCAACGGGCAACAGGACGCCAATTATTCCGTCCTCTACACATAAATCGTTAAGCCTTAAAATCGACCTGTATTTTTATTCCTCTACATCCTACTATACTTCCAGTATACACCATGCCAAGAGAAAAACTCACCGAAATTAAAATAAATTCCTAGCTTCCACTTTCTGTGATTCCGTGCGACTGCTCATGTGGGTGTGTCCTTTTCTGAGGGTTGCCCCTTTTGTTGGTGGTTTTAAACGAAAACCAAGAGGAACAACCACAACTTTGCCCTAAAAAAGACACCCCCCATGTGTTTCCGGGGACTTGTTTTCCGCTACTCACGACTCACCTCGGCAACAACCCAGAGCGACGCGGACAGGTCTGGGCACAACGTCAACCCAGAGTTCAAGTACAGCCACACCTTCACGCAGGACTCTGGGATTTTGCTGCGGAGCCGTGGCCGGATGGACTGAGTTCGGTTCGAAGACGTTGGCGAGGAAAGACTGAAAGTCTGACAAACGGTCGTGGATGGGTTTTGGAGGTATGGATCTTATATATATATATATATAATAATTATACCTCTCTCCGACTAACATGGCAACTCACAAGGGGGTCCCTCCAAGAGGAAACTGGTCTTCCAGGTGAATGTTGGCATAAGCCTCCATACCTCCATGCCGCACCTGAACATGGAGCTCGTGATGCCTGTTCCACGAAAAAGGCGCAAACACCCCCACCACCGTTTGGTTGGGCATTGATACCTAGGTCCTTCTCTCCCTTTTTTGGGGGAGGGTTCCTCTACTGAAATAGACCGACCAAAAATCGGGTACCCTTATTCGAACCTCTCTATAGTTCCTGGCACTCCCGAACACGGCCTGTTACTTTCTCGGGTTTCCCAAGCAACGTCTTGCTGCAGGATCCCGTGACCTCGCGTTTCTTGGAGTACCTGCAGTCAAAGCTCGTCTTCCGAGTGTGCGCCTGTCCGGCCGATGTGTCTATTTTCCCAGTCGTTCATTGGAGCCCTTTTTCGCTGTTTGCCTGATTAATTTCACACTAAACGTGGCACATCCCATGTGCGTCTAAGATAAGGAACCTGCCCAAGCATTGGTTTTGGTTCCCCTATTTTCAAGAAAGACCCGCACGGAAGCCAATTGACCAATCCCAACTTATGTGGGATAGTGGTTTATCGAGTTGCCTAGTGCTTTCACTTGCCACTATAGGTAACCAGAGGATTAACGCCTAGAGGTAAAAACCTGGTTTGAGATACCTGCTATGGTAACTGCAAGCACCACGTGCCTGGTCGTCGCAAAGGTGGTTTCTAGCTCTGTGGTGCCACCCCAGAAGCGGCTTTTGGAAGACTCGAGAGCGGATTGAAGATAGGCAAACTGGGGGGGGTCTGTGGGTGGAGCCATCAAATTTGGGCAAGGCTGGAGTTAGGGAGCTTGCCCCAAAGCGGGAGGGGGTGGGGGCGGGCTGTGGGTGGAAGAGTTATTTTGTTAAAGACGATTCGGATAGATGAATGTGAGGGATAGTGGCATTGCCATAGGTCGTGCGGAGATGTTTGCCTTGTTGAATGGTCTTTGGGATGGGGAGATACCTGCAGGTGATTGAGAGATTCCTACCGTTGGTTGCTGTGTGGTTGAGCCCGGTGTGAAGAAGTTGGATCATTGTTTCGCGCCAGCAGCCTGTTTGCCCAGCCTGGCCAAGATTTTGCCACCTTTGGCGCTTTTTGGCTGGCTTGATTCCAGCAGCTTACTCTTGCAGAGCAGTGAATCAAGTTGAGCTTGTTCTGGTATTTGAATTGGGTTGCTCACCCGTTTGGAGCGAAATATTTTGGCCCGTGTCTACCAACTCGGCTTATCTTTGACGCCTCAGCAATAGACAGTAGGCTATCGATTTGTTGGCGGGCCTAACCGTTTTGCGGTTTCTCAGTTGCCCAAACCCAACCTGGTGACCTTTTGGTTTCCTGTTTTGGTCCATACTTAGTCAGGGTCACCAAAGCTTGACCTTGTATGTCTGGATCCTTGGGGCAACTGAGGTGCGTGCCGTAACTTCCGCATTCTTTCCAGGGATCCTTCTTTCTAGATAACCATCAAAACTCCTAGGGACATGGATCTGGTTTTTGATAAAGGAACAATGGCTGAAAAGAATGGACAAGGAATGCACCCCCACTATCGGTGTGCTGTGGCTATATGGCTGTGGGTCAAAACCAATGGTCCCATTTTGGGGTAGGCGAATTCACCACAGATTTTAGAACCTATTTTAGTGGTTGGATTGAATCGGTCCCGTTCACTTGGGGCTAACCGATATGGACAGATCTTGCAGGCAGAACAGCGGAAGAATCCACACACTCAATGGCACCGGGGCTCTGACAAAGTGACTCACTTTTAGTGGGTTTGATACGGAAAAGCCCTAAAAGTTGGCAAACAGTTAAAGTCCTAAAGTCCCTTGGCAAAATGCACCATTTGTTTTTTCATCTTTTGGCAGCTTTTGACTGGGACAGCGAACGAGGTACGGCCGTGATGCCGCCGCGGCAGCTGCAGCGGAGGAACTCGCTCGTGCCACTGCCGCAAAAGGAAATCTGCGGGTGGTTGCGAAATCCACTTCGCACCCAATAAACCCTAGAAGGATGATTCCCCTGTACTTGGTGGCTCCCAGCCTTCCCCTTAGCTTTTTAGCCTTTTAGTGTTTAGTGGTAGTTTCCATTAAACCCAAGGTTAAACTTTTAGCGGAACAAACAATGGCTTCCTATGGTTTCATACTGGTGCGAACGGATGTCGTCCATCCACAGTAGGGCTGGGTGACCAATGCGTGTAGCCGTTTGGCCGGTGGCAGTTGCGTAGGCTGGCGCTCGGGGGGGGGCTCTGACTCAAGGCGGAGGGTATGAACTGAAGGGCGACCTCACAAAGGAGCATGCGACCTACACATGAAGACGCTATATAAGATGTAACAAAGGGACCCCTTGTGTATGCGTGGTGTAGTCTTGTTGTTTTTATTAGGGCCCCCTTATTTATGGGTGGTGGACTACAATCTGCCTATAAATCGGACACCAAGTTGGTTGGGGCACATGACCGCTGCACAAAAAGGAGCCAAAGAATGATATGCAACGAATCCCCACTTCGGAAAAATGGCAGTGCGGGTTTGGGTCTATTTTAGCGAGACAGCCCCAAGGTTACCTCCTCAATGGCGATAAACTTAGCTTTGAGAAACCTCAGCATGTTCACTGTAAGGGACCCAAATGGCCTAAAGGGAGATTGGTCTTGCTAAAAAAAGTGGGAGTGGGTGGGGGGGGGGGGGTAATTTTATCCTCGTGCTTTCGTTGGTCTCCGTCTAAAAGTCTAAAGAGATTGGTCTTGCTAAAAGTGGGAAGGGGGGGGCAATTTTATCCTCGTGTTTTCGTCGGTGTTCGACTAAAGGCAGTCATCGAACAAGGAGCGCGCTTTTCTCTTTGACCATTGGGCTTGAGACATGATTGGTGTCCCATAGAATTCTGATTCTGTTGTTCATTTGGAGGGTCTACCCAGTATCTGCTGGACACTCCCAAGTTTCAAGGCGAGATCCGAGGCGCCATGCGCGACATACCCATGCGAACACCCAACCCTTAGCCGTGTTGCTCCGAAAGATGATACAAAAAGAAAAAGAGAAGTTCAAACAAAAAACACCAAGAAAACAGTATCCCTAGGTTTTTACAACAAGCTTGGAGCCGACCCAATTGAACCAACTGCAAGTACTATTCTCCGCTCATAAATATGGCCTAAAGACTCGGGCATGGCTTTGTCCAAGGTCTTTGGGGCCCGTCCGATGTCTCACCGGTGGCTTCTTGGGAGAACCATTTTACCGGCAAACCGTTTGGGCTTGTTTGGGCCAATCCACGACAGATGCGAGAATTAGGCTTTAGATTTAAGCCGCCTTTTTGTTGTGAGTGGCCCACTGACATACTTGTGGGGACGGGCTTTCGGCCAATGGATGCAAAGTGATGCACACTATTCCTGGGAATGACCCACGTGGTGTGTTTTTCCAGGTTGCCATGTAAGGGGTCCAAATCCCTAGTGATAGTTTGACCACATTCGGGTCCACCCATTCTTAGGGTGCAAATCCCTATTCTTCAGGCAACCCCCCCTACTCACCAAACCACCGGGCTCCAAGCTGAGTTGATGAATGCCCATATGGCTGTGGGTCAAAATCCAAATCGGTTAGCCCCCAGTCTCTAACATAGCTAAAATGGGTGGTGAACCTACCACGCAAAATGGGATCCCAAAACGGTTTTGACAACCACAGCCATATGGCATATGGGTCTCACAGGTTTCGGGGGCGATTCTCACCTTTCTAGGGGTTGATTCCTCGTCCATTCTTTTCAAGCATCGTTCTTCCCAACCGTTCCGGCCGTTTTCAACCTGGGTTTCCGGAGGTGTCCTAGAAAGATCCGGATCCCTGGAAAGAATGGGGGAGGTAGCACTAGAACCTTGGCCTCAGGTGCCAAGAACCGGCCGGACCCCACCCCGGCCCCGGCGGCGCCGCCTGTGGCGGCGCCGGCGGCCGCGCCGGCTCCAGCGCCGGTGCCGCCGGCCCGGGGCCCAGCTCACCTGACCCACCATCAAAACCCGGGTAGATGAACAGGGCTCCTTAAAAAGTCTCCTTGTTTTGCAACCATTTGAAACATTTTGCAAGTTTTCAACACCAAAGTAAAGTTGGAAACCACCATATAATGTAAGTAAGGGACTGCCCCCCAATAAATAGCCGCGGCCGCCTTTTTAATTCTTGAAGCATGGTTCTGGGTAGACCAATTTAATACCGGGTTTTGATTATGACTCACGTGGTATGAGCGTTTTCCGAGGTCCCTCGTGCTTGGGGATTCCAAGTCTCTGAATTCAGGTCCTGTTGAATTTGTGTAAACCTTGCAGACATATCATGGGTGTTTGTTTTTGTTTGTTTTTGTATATATTTTTTATTTTTGTTTTCTGGGGGGTGTACCCTTACCCCTTGTTATTGGTTGTTTTAAAGGTAAAAGCATCATTTTTGGGGGATCCCCTACATGGACGCTCCCAAGGAACGTGGGCGTTTCTCAAAATCAGGGATGTGCGTCCTTTCGGGGGAGTAGCCTATCAGCGACTCGAGCTTGGGGCGTTTGGTGCTTCCCTTGGGCCCTTTCCAGTCCTTCGATCTGGGCCGAAAAAAAAGGTCAAGCTGTGATATTCAGGTCCTCCAGCCACCAGATAGAGCGGTTAATTAGCAGTCAGCAAGTGGGCTATATTTGGGTAAATCCTGGCACTAACCCAGAGCCAAGTAGTGTGAGACTCAACACCGATTCTTTCCCCAGCAACTTGAACCCTCTGCACGCAAAGTGTGCTGGCCTTCTGCATTTTTTCAGAAGCGACGATTTGCCGACGGGTCGCGCCAGGCAGGCAGGTTTGTTACCAAAGGGTAAACTTTGTCTGAGGTTAAACTCGGGAGCTGAAGTTAAACTGGGAAGGCGGGA